GCAACGTTCCTAGAAGCTGACCTGGACGCCGCCACCATTGCGGGGATCGCAGAGAAGTGCACATTTGAGGGCATGAAGGCAACCCTGGACAACTCCCGGTACGAAGATAGGAGAGTCATGGCCAGGAAAGGTTTGTTACTTCGTCCTAAATAAAAAGGTTTGCCTGATATCCAGTCTATCTTGGTTGGGGCAGGCTGTGTCTTCGGGGCTCTAATAGTTTCCCCCGTCCAGCTCAACAGACCGCCCAGTGGTAATGTTACGCCTGTAGGTGTTTTGCCCGCCAGGAGGTAAACTCCCATCATGCACTAACCTACCGGAGTACCTTGCTGAGTCGGTCGGGGAAGAGCTTCTGCAGCCCCGGAGAGAACCCGCCTCAACCTCGATAGATGGATGGATGGATGGATCCGGATGGATGGTGTGTTTGTGTGTGTGTGTGTGTGTGTTTGTGTGTGTGTGTGTGTGTGTGTGTGTGTGTGTGTGTGTGTGTGTGTGTGTGTGTGTGTGTGTGTGTGTGTGTGTGTGTGTGTGTGTGTGTGTGTGTGTGTGTGTGTGTGTGTGTGTGTGTAGATATATATGTATGTTTGCCTAAGACTAAACTAAGCAGTAGTCTTAGACTTAGATATAGACTAGACTTAGTCTAAGACTAGACCATGTGAAGCTTATGATTCTGCTTTTTAAAAGTTATCTTTCTATAGTTTATGTTTGTTCTTCTGTTGATTTCCTAGGAGTTGTTGGTGACTGGAAGAACTACTTCACCGAGGAACAAAATCAAGCCTTTGATGCTCTGTACGATGAAAAGCTAAAAGGAACAGGTCTTGACTTTGAATTTGAGTAGACGACGTTTCAAAACGATTTTACATAGACCCGGGTTTCCCTCAATGTTAGTAGATTGCATAACTGGGTCCATAATTGTTACGATTCAACAATATTAGCACGTTGTAAGATCTACACAACATTGTCAGACGAAGGTGCGACCTTTTCAGTTGTTAGTGACTCGGAAAAGGTACATGGCAGCATGGGCATTAAATCTAATGTACAAAATACGATGAACATTGGCTATTACTAATGTTTATATTACCTCATTTTCCGGACATGTACACTGACGTCTCAAAAAGCAAACGCGAGCAAAAAAGAGAATGACTATCAAAGGATAATAAAGCTGGTGATTAGTTTAAGTTTACGATTCTGTATTTTTACTTTTGATAAAACAAGGTTTTAGCTTTGGGAATTAGTGAATACTCCAAATTACAGATATAAATAGAGAGATAGATAGATAGATAGATAGATAGATAGCTATATAGAGAGAGACAGATTGATAAAATCATATAGATAGATAGAGTAGATAGATAGATAGATTGATTGATTGATAGATGGATAGATAGATAGAGTAGATAGATAGACAGATAGATAGATAGATAGACAGACAGACAGACAGATAGATAGATAGATAGATAGATAGATAGATAAATAGATAGACAGATAGATAGATAGATACACTGACTGTGACGAAATAGAACCTCCCGCCACCAATCAAGGATAATTGTATCAACTGTAATCTGCGGCGCGCTTTGGTGTCACCTGCGTTGCCAGGTAACGAGATTTGTTTTTCATGTGACCATTTTCCAGCCAATGAAAATACGGAAAGCAAACTTCCTCGACCAATGAGAGAACGCTTCACCAGTATTTAAGCTGCCGCGCGGGAAACATCGTGAGCCTTTGCACTTCAGTCAGCGGAAGAGATTTTTTTCTTTTTTTACTCCAATTTTTTTGTTGTTCTCGGCGCTGCACTGACCTACCATGGCTCGTACCAAGCAGACGGCCCGCAAGTCGACCGGCGGGAAGGCTCCCCGTAAGCAGCTGGCCACCAAGGCGGCGAGGAAGAGCGCCCCGGCCACCGGCGGCGTCAAGAAGCCGCATCGCTACCGGCCAGGTACGTGTGTTCTATGTAATTTGTTGCATGCTACATAGTGGTAGGTCAACTAGCGGGGTTATACCGCTTCGTCGGGGTTCTTGTAGTATACCGCCCCTTACTTTATTTCCTTGCGGGGTGATGCCCTTTCGTTGGCTGATACGAGACCCCCGTCAGGGAATGATGTAAAGGTGGTTGTCAAAACTTGTGGCGATGATGCAAGTGACTTTCATCCTCCCAAAACACGGTTACAATGTTTAACGTTGGGGCGCGCTATCTTTCATATACTAGTGCTAGTACTGTTTCTTTTTTTAGGAAATTATACAGAATATAATGCCCTTGGTGTATGCTAGTAACAATCCCCTGTACGCTGTCGAGCCGAAAAGTTACAGTAAAGTTTCGTTGATGTATTCGCTATTGTTGCGGTACTGCAGGCACGGTGGCGCTGCGCGAGATCCGCCGCTACCAGAAGTCCACCGAGCTGCTGATCCGCAAGCTGCCGTTCCAGCGCCTCATCCGGGAGATCGCGCAGGTACGTATACGGTGGTCATTTTCTTTCCATCAAAACACAACATTCATGCTAAGGAATATACTGGATTTGAGAGAGTACTGCATGGCGCGTAGAAGTCTGTGTACTAGTGATTATTTTCGTCATGTTTGATGTGTAAAACTCACCTAACTCAGATTTCAGTCGTCAATACACGATAGTGAAAATTTTTTAGCTAGAACATATCTAGTATTAAGCTTGAATAAACGTCCTTGCTTTAATATTTACAACAGCAAGTGCACTACTTTGTTCATTCTAAATACTTAAAGAACTCTTATACTATGTAAATTGTTTATATATTGTGACAATGATTTAATATTTCTATGTCCAAACTTAATTTTAGTATGCTGCGCCTTTGCATTTCCCCAAAGTTAACAGCAAGTTTTTCCAATGCTTGATGCACAAGATTATCACAATTTTATCACAACTTATCGCTCAATTTTGTGTTCTTTCCAGGACTTTAAGACAGACTTGAGGTTCCAGAGCTCGGCGGTTCTAGCCCTGCAGGAGGCGGCGGAGGCGTACCTGGTCGGTCTGTTCGAGGACACCAACCTGTGCGCCATCCACGCCAAGCGGGTCACCATCATGCCCAAGGACATCCAACTGGCCCGCCGCATCCGCGGGGAGCGCGCCTAGCTCTGGGAACGACGACCCGGGTCACGTGCTCACTTGTACATAGAACTCTTGGGAACGAGAAGCTCACCGTGGCAGCTAGTTTTGTACAGTATATGTTGAATAATTAACTTAAGTGTAGTAACGGTCAAATGTAGACAGAAATGGCGTTAAAACGTGTGGTAAAGGCGAGGATACCACATATTTAGTTAAGTTGCCGTTAACATGGAATTAACTGAACTGCAAGGCTCTTTTTGTCCGCTTTGATTCGTCATTTTAAAATTTGTCCGCTAAGAATGTTACTTGAAGTAGCCATAGTATATTGCGTCCGTATAATGCGTTCAGTGTTCGTAATTTGTGAATTCTCGTTGCATCATCTCTGTAGAACAATTGTATAATCCTCAAGCTCAACAAATATGTATATGTATTGTAGAAAAAGTTCATATGAAGTTTTCGTACTGATGATGCATTTGAAACAAAACTTGCGGTCATGTTTCATACCCCTGTGTAAAATGCATTTTCCACCCAAATCCAAGTTAGTATATATTTGTGTACATCCACCAGCCAACTGACCGTTTTATACTTCTGTTTTATCTTTTGAGTTTGATTTCTAATAAAAATATTCTGAACGCCTAACTGCATCTTGGACTTTTTGGGGGTAAAATGTGTCTTAGTGTAATCACCTTGTGAAACTATGGGGTAAACAATTTCTGATTCTCAGTTTCTACTACAACTGCAAAGTAACAATACTAAGTCATGAATAAGATACTACAGAGAGGGTAACTATACTTATGAGTGTAGCCTCTAACAGGAAGTACGTGAAATTGAACTTTTTTCGTACAAATCATGTAATTCAAAAGCAGTTATTCAAGATCTCCTCAGACCAGCATAGTATCTTGTCGCCTAATGTCGCCTAATATCTGCTTGGAGATTATATAATGACTATTTTGCACATGAATACTACAACTTGCAACATCTACCTAGCTGCTTGTGCCTGTACCCATAGTTCTCACACTTGAAATGAAGTCGCACACTGTAGTGTACTAAATACTCTTTTGATAGCCAGTGCCTCGTAACGTGTTTATGTATTTTGTTCATCAAGGAAGCATCTTCGTCCTACAATGTTATGTAGAGCTTACAACGTACTAGTATTTTTTTTTATTCCAACATGCAATCACCAGACGCGGTGACGGCACACTCAAGTTTTTTCAACTTATATTAATTCCGCCACCAACACAGGGGACAAATACATGACAGGACAATACTCATTTACACCTGAGCTAAGTGAGGAAAGCCGTGTAAAGTGCCTTTCTCAAGGGCACAAGATCGGTGGCATGTCAGGACTCGAACCCGGGACTCTAAGTTCCGAGTCGCGTACACTGCCGCTACGCCACACGACCCCACACAACGTACTAGTATTGATGCATGGTAACAGTTATAGACGCAGATATGTAACCTTGACGGAAACCCAGGTCTATTACTGTAAAGATCGTTTTGAAACGTAATCTACTCAAATTCAAAGTCAAGACCTGTCCCTTTCAGCTTTTCCTCGTACAGAGCGTCAAAGGCTTGATTTTGTTCGTCGGTGAAGTGGTTCTTCCAGTCTCCAACAATGCCTACAAATCAACAACAAAAAACAAACAACAACAAAAAAAACTATAAGGCAACGTTTATAAACCAGAAGCATAATGTTTGCCTGCACATGGTCTAGTCTAACAAACTACTGCTCTGTTCATTGTTACTCAAAAAACATTCATATAAACAAAATCCTAAACAGCCTCTCTAACTCTGTTCTGCCACTTGCTACATAATGTTATCAAAAAGGACCGGGCGTCTTTTTGTGACCTGTTTATATGCCCCGTTTTTGCTGTCACTACGTGTCCCAACGTGGCATTTTAAAAGGTCACAATCTTCCCCACCAACCTCTGCTTGGAGGGTAGTAATAATAGAAGCTGTTACCATACCACAAGCAAATATTAACACCTTTAGTGAAGTAAGCGTTCTACTAGGATCTCCACTAGCTCACACAACTTCACCGTCCAAATTCCTTGTTCGAAATCTTTTTACAGTGACAGTTTCTTTCCCCGTACGGCCAAGCTTGGGAATTCCCTCCCTGACAAGTGTTTCCCACCAACCTACAATCTACAGGCTTTCAAATCAAACGTTCACCGCCATCTCTTGACATGTTTCTCTCATTTTTGTACTTTAATGCCGAGAAGTGGTCGTATAGGGTTTGCATTGAACCACTCCGTTAAAAAAAAAGAAGTAACAAACCTTTCCTGGCCATGACTCTCCTATCTCCGTACCGGGAGTTGTCCAAGGTTGCCTTCATGCCCTCAAATGTGCACTTCTCTGCGATCCCCGCAATGGTGGCGGCGTCTAGGTCAGCTTCTAGGAACGTTGCGATTCTCTTCACTTCGCTGGCGATGTCCTTTTTCATGTCCTCGTACTTGAGAAAGATGAAGTGGGGGTCATCTCGCTTCTCCCACCAGGACAACACGTGATCAAAGAAGCTGCCGTGGACCTCTAGAAAGATAACCGGGCAAATTAAAATCATGACTAAATAGTCAGACGGACTCAGACCGTACTGTATCTATATCAGTATCAGTATAACCACCTCCGGCGTAACACCAGCTAGCCGCGCAGGTACGCGGCGCGGTGGCAGCTGGTTATATTACACCAATCGACCTGTTACACCCAATCTTGTACATCTAACTGAAGTTCCAGTTTTTATTAACCCCTAAAAAGAAGGTCTTGAACAGAGAGTGTCTCACCCTTCCCAGAAAGGAAGTCTTCGCAGAATTTAGGCCATGGCCTCTGGTTGGCATCGAGGTTTGTTATCTTCAGGCTAAAGTGATAGAAGGACACAGCCGCGTCCTTTGGGTTCCTCATCACTACCAGGATTTTCTCCTGAAAGAAATTATATAACGTTATAGATCGATTTATTACCATCGCTAAGAAGGTTATGTTTTGGTATGTGTGTGTATATGTGTTACTCTCCAAGCAGAGGTTTGAGTTTTGGGGGTATTTTTGGCGTGTTTTGGGCCTTTTTTTATCGGGGTTTCTTTTTTGCACTGGATTTTTTTTTCATCCCAACTCAACTTTCCAAGCAGAGGTTTGTGTTTGGGGGTATTTTTGGCGTGTTTTTAGGCTTTTTAACGGGGTTTCTTTTTTGCACTGGATTTTTCGGGTTGGGATAAAAATAATTCCAGTGCAAAAGAGAAACCCCGATTTTAAGCTTTTTTTAGCTTAAAAACACGCCAAAAATACCCCAAAACCCAAACCTCTTCTTGGAGAGTATATATTTGTACGTGCATGTCTTTTAGCACGATATTTACCTTCGCCAAGAAGGTTAATAGTTGGTAGTGAGCAGCCACTAGCTCTGTCAATTTCTAAAACCCGAGCGATCTGATTGGACAACACCGTCACGTGTCACCCGACCATCCCCCTGCTCTGTCCTGCTACGAAATGTAACCCAACACCACAGGCTGCCTGCTAGTTACCGTGGTGACAGACGTCTGGTCCAGGTCATTGACTGAATACATGTATTTGGAGAAGAGGAAGAAGCAGAGCAAAAACAATATGTTTTCCTTCTACGAAGGTTGACATAAATATATGACTAGTACCTTTCCCCGGGGATTGGCGATCCCGGGGGGTGCTGTCCCGGGTTTAAGGTGGGTGAGGATGACCCGGGGGGAGGGGGCGTCTTCCAGCAGCACGTATGAGGGGAGGGGGTTCTCGGGGTAGAGGAACTCCAGTTTCCCGATGATGTGGTCGTCTGATTTGGCGGGCGACCTCCCGGCGGCCTGCAGGATCTGAGTCACGATCTCCAGGGTCCAGTTCGTACCTACAACAGTAAAGCTGCATTATGTAACATTAGGACGTTACAAAAAAAGTCATTTTTTTGTCATTTCTTTAATCAACATTAACCTACTCCATCCCAAGTATCCCACAGCTGTCAGCCATGTATGTTTACGTTCTGGAAGTTTGGGGTGGTACCATAAACTGCGTGGTTCTAGTTTTTGTTTCAGTGGAAGTAAATTAGAGTCACGAAAATTTCTTTCAATTTGAAATATGTCAGTTTTGTGCAAAAATGTCACATAATGCCCCATTAAACACAATCACTCTCTAGAAAGCCTCCCAGAGGAGGCTGAAAGGTTATACGTTCAGAGAACGACCTCTCTATAGCCGTGGCGACTGTTGAATCGGGCTTTTTTTCTGGTAGACTTATATATAGTCCTCTTGAAGACTACCAACAAAAACACCCGATTCAAATGTCGCAAGCTGCCCCTCTTATTAAGTCAGTGACCTGTGTCAACAAGCCGGCCTGCATTACAGTAACGTTACAGCTGACGCACCCGTTATATATTCATCTAGTTTAGTCCCTATTATCTCCATATTTAAATAGTGGGTGTTGCAAACCAGAGTATCGAAAAACCACCTTGATCATGATCTTCACAATAATTTATTCTTTTGTGTATAGGTCTTCGGAAAATTAAACTCACGCTACAATCCAAGGACGTTCTATCATAGAACAGGGATGCCAGAGTGTAGTGTACAGTGTCGCAGTTTTACGGAATACGGTACAAATTTAGTATACTAATACGATTGCACTGTATTCCGTAAACTTGCACTGTATACTAATACGATTGTACTGTATTCCGTAAAATTGCACTGTATACTCTGGGACCCCTGTAGAACGTCCTTGGTCAATCACAAGAATATGAAGTGCCTTTGTCCTGTTTCAACGGTATCGAAATGTCTTGTGGTTCCGCATTTCTCTCACCTGTTTTGGGAAAGCTGACAATGACGATGTCGTCGTCGCGAGTCTGGAAGGTTTTCATGGCCTCGAGATTCTCCATGGTGACGAAATGAGGATACAGAACCCCGTTATGAACCAAAGGCTGTCTGTCAGGGAACGACATGGTGGACTGAACGTTTCCAACGATTTCTAGAGCTGAATCAAGACTCGGCTGTATTCTGCTGTACACACAGGTGACAAACTTGTTGGTTTTAGACGTATTCGTGCCGGGTACCAGATTACCCTAATTTCGGTCCTGAACTTTGGCCTGAAAAACGACCGTGCAGACGTTGACCGTGCGGACGGTTGTCCCTTTAATAGGGGTAAAGGTTATGTTGAAGTTTTTCCAGTACGAATGCCCAGAAGTCTGTCCCAAACATTTTCGCAAGTGGCGAACGGTACATGGTGCATGGTACATTATCTTTGGGAACAAAATATTTCAGAACTTCTGTGACGAAGCAAACGTATACATTCCGAACCATTGCAGTCATTTTGTTTAAATTTCGAATTCTTCCAGGGCGACATCCTTTTGAATATTAGGCGAGGTTTTGTCAATGTACATTTTGAGCATCTGGATCTGGAGCACTGGTATTAAATGAGAATGACCTGAAATTTGCATGGGGATACCATGTGTCCACAGAAAGTGCACAATTGTTACAAACAAAGGGTATTGAAGCACTTGATACTGGGTGGAAAAGTTTGATATGGAACAGCCCATTTAGGAATGGGGAGGGATTAAATGAACTAAAATATGCTGTATGTGCTCCCAAGTAAATGTCGGCCTTTCTAGTTAGAATTTCGAATTCTTCCTGGTGACATCTTTTGAATATTAGGCACTGTTTGTCACTGGAAAAGCTCCTAGACAGTTGCGAGCTGCGCGCAACAAGAGACACCCATGTATCAAGAGGGTACTTTGTATTTCCCACCAGTGCTGTGTAATAGGGTAATGGTGCGAGCCTAACGTTTTAAACCTCTGAGTTACTGACATAGGCTGAAGGGCTCATCCTCTGTCTCTAACCGTGCTAATGAAGGATGCTGGCAAGTCTAGGGCTTTAGAAGTTTTTTCGATTAAGATTAACAAGATTAAAGGTTACTTGCAGACGTGCAAAATTGCACTTGTAAATTACTTGGCGACTGTAAATACAGACCAACAGTGTATATTTTTGTATATGGGCAAAGATTTCACACGAACTACTACAATGCAGTTAGCAGTTACAACACTGGCTAGAATATACGCTATATTGCAATATTTTGACGGCTCTAGATAGCTAGGATGCAGAATTAACAACAGCAAAGAAAGGTAGAATAACATATTTGCAAAATCCATCAAGAAACATATTTTGAAGTGCTATTGATCTATTCACCGAGTTTGCTGGCGATGCAAGTAACGTCATCGAATTAACAGACAATGTCCCTATGCTGTATGAAACTGATCTACACTGTAATACCATGGAGGTACAGCATTTTTACCTCAATGGTTAAACATCGATATAAGGTCAAGGAAAATGGAGTTATAAAAGATGGACTATGTCACGGTCAATACTGAAGTCGATATTAATGTCGGGAGTTGGATTTCCCTCGCTCGATGCCGCAGTCCCCCGTCCGCCACTATTACCCTTCTGCGCCGGTAATGGATCAGCACTGCAAAGTCAATGTCTCACTAGAGATGTACTTTACGAGGCAATGCCAATTCGATTCCTTGTTTCTCGGATTCGCCTGCTCGATTTTTATGTTTACCGAAGGAAAGCATATTGTTTTTGCTCAGTTTCTTCTCCTTCTTCTTCTTCCGTTATAAACAAATAAGGTCAATGACCAGGACCAGACGTCTATCACCATGCATATGGTAGTATTGATGTAGGGTTACATCAACTACCATGTTGCAACATGTTGCAAGTGCTGCAGAGTTCAAGATGGTCACCACATACTACGTATTTGAGTAAGAATAAACAAAACAGTGGTTTGTTGAGCTAGGCCATGTGAAGGTAAACATATGATGCATTTGCTTTGCAAATGTTACCTTACTAGTTTTGTTCTTTACTATTATAGGTTTTTGCCAAAGGGCTAACTGCAACATGAAACAGTGTATAGAAGGAGTTTACAGGCAGTGTAAGGTCTTGTAAGGTGGAACATATAAAGTAACTGTTCTAAGAACCGCTTTAATTAAGCTTCATTGGGCATTGTGAAAAGTTGTATATTTGAGACTAACGTTTATATTTTCTCGTTTATATTTTTTACTTACTATTCAAATTCATTTTTGGGGTTAATTAATTTATAACAAGATGCTTTCATGATTTCTTTCATGCAAATATACGAAAACCAAGAAATAAAATTGCTATGGCCTGATACTAGGTATGTATCTTTTCATCGACCCAAACATGCTAGCAGGTGATTTAAAACGCATTTTCGATTTTGGTGTCACAGTGCAGGAGAAAATGTAGCACCCCGTTCGACACATGATCAATCATACGCCGACAAACATGTAGCGAGTGAATCGTAAACTGGCGATTCGTTGTCTACAAATAGTCAAACGCAATTGTGGAGATATGATTTATTTTAGTCTCTTCTATGAACTGCTTTGTAAATTTTTACATATAGCTGATTTCGCAATGTATAGTACTGTTGTTGTTTTTAGTGTGTGGAAGGGCAACTTATAAAGCTGCGTATGGACCTGTTTTTCCTTCCTTTTCACATTGTGATAAACTCAAATAAACAAATTCGATACATAGGATCAAATAACGTTTGCTTACTATTCATAATTGATCTGAAACTCCTTCGAAAAACGTCGCATTTGTATCATTTACGATTGTCCCACGGCGGAATCTGATCGCTATTCACCACAATGAATCAGCATCCGGATAATTCCTCCGGGCGCTACATGTATCATCCTGATAGTGATAGTCCATCAAAACGTCATCAGTTGTCCCGCTGGCCCGACGACAGTCACAGAGCAACTGTCTCTTCGATATTGGACCTAATTGCATCACTTGTCTGGCCACTGATACAATACACTGCGGTATGCTGACACTGAAATTATGCCACGCAAGTATATCCATGGGGTAATCTCCAAGCAGATCTTTTGGTGGCAGCAATGCAGTATCAGATTGTGAAGACAGAATCAAATTGGGAAGACTGTATCAAATTGGGAAGACAGAATCAAATTGGGAAGACTGTATCAAATTGGGAAGACAGGATCAAATTGGAAAGACAGTATCAAATTGGGAAGCCAGTATCAAATTGGGAAAACAGTACATGTGTATCAAGTTCTTATTGTGAAGACAGTATCAAATTGGGGAGACAGTATCAAATTGGGAAGACAGTATCAAATTGGGAAAACAGTACATGTGTATCAAGTTCTTATTGTGAAGACAGTATCAAATTGGGGAGACAGTATAAAGTTGAGAAGACAGTATTAAATTGGGAAGACAGTATCAAACTGTATAGGTAGTATCAATTTGCCACCCGTAGAACTGGCAAAAAAGATACCAGTACAAAGAAGAATTTGAAAGTCCAAAAAGAAAAACACGCCTAAAACACGTCAAAAGAAGATCTGCTTGGAGTTAAGCTTTTTTCCAGTCCCTAACGAAAACAGCGTTCAATATCTCCAGTTACCGGTACCGAAGACGAGTATCTCAGTAACTGCAGAGACACAAACATTACCATTTGGTGCGTCGTTAGAACAGCCTAGTCTGTCAAAATGCCATCACATTAGATGGAACGTCCTTGATGCGATAAGCTTAAAATGGCGAATGGATTTAACAAGCTGATGCGGAGATCAATCAGACAGGCATACGCGGACTTTGCAGAACTGTTACATGCGTCACAGCTATCAGGGTTTTGGACTCAATGGTCTGTGAGACGTCTAGATGTGTAGAATCCCACAGCGAAAACGTGGGTAAGGCAACAATTCAAATTCGTGGTTTTCATATTCGCCTGCATGTTTTTCTGATTTGAAAAAAAAGTCATCACATATATCATTCGGGATTTGAATTACATGTTGGTACCAAGAGTCCTTGTCATCCAAATGTTCAATATTCAATGTCTAAAATGTTAACCAGTAAGGTATGTTGACTTTCTGGTGCCATGTGGCGTCAGATTATGTAGCAAGTGGCAGGTCAGAGTTGGAGGTGCTGGTCACCATATCTAAGAATTTGTTTGAGTAAGAATAAACAGAGCATTAGTTTGTTAGGCCAGGCCATATCCGAAAGTAAACATTAAGAATTTTGCTTTGCAAATGTTTCCTTTTTAGTTATTTCTTTATTTCACCGAGAACCCAGCAATCAAATTGGTGTGGCCCGTACTGCATAACGGAAACCCTACCGGTCCGTGACTGATAGCATGTCGGCATCACTGGCGCTAAACGGGTATGCACCTCACGTCAACATCCCAGCCGCATCTCGTTATAAAGCAGAAATATCACAGGTAGACATTCGAGCGGTCCAGATTCTCCATGTTCCCAGCGCAGATACATACATCCCAGCCGTTTGGTTGTTAAACATGCAGAACTCGTCGGTTTCTGCCGGGGACAATATCGGATTTACATCTCACAGAGCTTTCTGCGGGATTCCAGACTCAGATCTTGCTACTGGATGTCAAGATAATTGGATCTATTTAACGCCAATGGTTATCGATTTGCAGCTATCGAGAATGCCTCGTGTAATTTAAGACCACATGGAGAGATGGGCGGGCTTAAACGGCAGCCATGGCTTTGATGGCGACCGTTGTATAACTGCGAGTCAGACGCACTTGGCCTGAAAACTGGTCCAACTGTTGACGCGGGCGATTTACGACTGGCTCTGTATTTTATCTACAAGATTACGCAGCTAGCTGAGACGTATATTTGAAGCAAAAATGGCAGTTACAAGAGTGTGTGTGCTGGGAATGTTATCAACCGCCGTGTGCGAAGTTGCCGTGCTTCTACTACTGCTTCGAGCGCCGTTAGTAGCTGAAGCAGCCGTGGGGATGATGTTACCGAACCGAACGTGCAACCTCCAGCCTTCCCCCGCCCGCAGCAGCCTCAGCCAGAGGGTGTACAACGCCGACATCGTCGCGTACGGCAAGATCGTGGACAGAACCCCACAGGAGGATCAGGAAGGCGTGTACAGGGCAAAACTGGACGTCTACTGCGTGCTGAAAGGCGGGGCGCTACCGCCGCAAGTTACCGTGTCCTACCTCGGCAACGTCACGGCTTGCTCCCGCACACAGGTGGTCGCCCAGACCCGCTACGTCATCTTCCTGAGAAACCCTCGGAACGGACTGTACATCCCACACGAAGTCAACCTACAGACAGCCGCTATTCCCGCAGACAACGCTACCCTAGCCGCCGTGGTTAAGGTGTGTGGCATCAGCCCCGAACTACCGAAAGGCGTAGACAAGTACATTCAAGTAGAAGACTGCGGTAATTTAGGAGCAAGGGCCACTGATGATCAGTGTATCTCCCCTGTTGGAAGCTCTGCTCCGGTGTATAGGATCCATATCGGGTGGATGTTTGTCCTTGTTGCTACAGCTAGAATTATAGGGCTAGTTAGGCTTTAGATATACAACGTAATGGTGTAGGTAGTATGATATGCTGTAAGCGCCCTGTTATAGCTGGCTATTCATCACCAACTATAGTACAACACGCCCGTTTGTTGGGCAGCATAATATGCCTATTTATCCCTGTTCAACACCAAGGACAGCATATACGGCTGTTCATTACCAAGGACAGCATATATGTGGCTGTTCAGTACCAAGGACAGCATATGTGGCTATTCAGGACCAAGGACAGCATATACGGCTGTTCAGAACCAAGGATAGCATATGTGGCTGTTCAGTACCAAGGACTGCATATGTGGCTGTTCAGTACCAAGGACAGCATATGTGGCTGTTCAGTACCAAGGACAGCATATGTGGCTGTTCAGTACCAAGGACAGCATATGTGGCTGTTCAGTACCAAGGACAGCATATGTGGCTGTTCAGTACCAAGGACTGCATATGTGGCTGTTCAGTACCAAGGACAGCATATGTGGCTGTTCAGTATCAGATATAGCAAAACAAACCTGTTTGTTTTTTAATTGCTTTTCGGTAGTAAGGATAGCATAACATTCCCATATATGGGCGTTTAGTACCTAAGAGAGTGCAATTGATCAGACTACGCTTGAAGGTATTGAATGCTTACCTTCAAAAACGGTTGAGTTCTCCTTGAATCCGATTTGAATCCTCCATATAAATCCAATTTAAATATGCTGTGCGAGGCATATGCAATATAGACACTCTTTCTGTGAAATTTTCATAAAGACCATTTATTTCTGTCCCCACAACTTCCTTATGAATGTAAATAGGTACTAGTAATAAACTACAGAGAATGACATTGTGCAGAAGGAAACAGTTAATCAAGCAATTGGATACATTTTGAAAACTGCTAGATGTTTAAAGTAGCATCCACTACCTTCTGTCAGTGACTAGTTAGGATGACATTGTGTAAGACTTCCCAAAGGAGAATGTATACAGACTTAGGAAGGAATGTACATATATAATGTTGCATTTTGCTTGTTTCTTGATACATGGGGGATAAGCTAGGAAGGCCTTTTCATCCCTATTTTGGGTTTTGGGGAGCTGGTTAGACATTTTATGATTTTCTTCGAAATAGACATACTTATGTCACATTGTAGCACTTTCTTTGCTACAGTAATAAGACAAATAACTTGAAATTCCAGTAGGTGTCAGGAAGACAGGTATTGTACTTCTGATATCCATATTGACATGCCAAATTAGTAATGATTTCTACACGGTTCCAGGTGTAATGTACAAAAAAACAAATGCATCAAGATAATTACGTACACTGAACCATATTTTGTATCTTTTGTCACTTTTGCTAGTTGTTATAACATTCTACTCAATGTATGGTACAGGTTCATATATAAAATCACATCTTCAAATGGCTACGTCTACTCCTTCTTTTGTTTCTTCTTGTTCCCGGGGCTCTGTTTGACTTTTCTTCTTTTTCCCGGGCTGGGTTTCTGCTGCCCTTTGAACGTCTTGGCTTTGGGAAGATCAGGAGACTTTCCAGACTTCTTGTTTTTAAAGAAGAAGCGTTTTTTCTTGGATTTGTTGGATGGTGAAGTGGGTTGAGTAGGGCTCTTCTGAGGAGAAGCTGATGACTTGGGAGGTTCTGTAGATGGTTCAGAAGTTGTCTTAGCAGTTGTCTCACTGTTTTCTTCTCCTTCCTTTGCCTTGGGTTCTGAGGGTAGGAATAAAATGTGTGAAATGCAACAAGCTGTGTGGCCTAAGGGATTATGAAAACAGAGATGGGCAAATTTGCCCTATACATCATATATCAAAATATGCAAGATTTGTGTCCCTAAATTGTAACATCAATTCCAATATCTGAATCCTGTATTCAAATTTTTGCTAAGCGGTGCACACAAAATGACCTTTGAATTATTCTGTAGGACATTTGGAAGCCTATGTGATTACCAATTGGAACCCCGTATGCGTCATGATACCGCTAGTTATCACACTGGCCTGAACACCCGTATCGAATATTATTGTGCATGACATACATGTACTTATCTTCTACTTTTTTATTTTTCAAATAAAGAGCATGAGACTTACCTTGTCCTGGGATAGCGTTGGAGAATTTCTTGAGCTTTGCGACGAAGAATCCCTCCATGTTGTGTGTGTGTGGGTAGAACCGCCGGGTCAGCTTCAGTGTCGGGTGGAGCCTGTATTCACGGAACCTAATATTGTTCAGAAAGAGATACATGTTAAGAGGGGACTTGCTCATTTTTTCATACACAAAGAGCATATTTTACATCTTTGTTAACTATTTCACTACAGCAAACTGAAATCCTTATACATGATTTACAATAAACACATATTAGGAAAGAACTTTATCTGCTATGCTTTTTTTGCCAACAACTCCCAAATATTGTTACAATCTTTGATTATTTTTTTATTGTGTACAGCAAAAACACATACTCCACAAAAATAAAGTCACTGCAAATAGTACTAGATTAAATTGTACTATCTTTTTTATGAAAAGATTTGATAAACATATGAAACTGTGATGAATGCTAAAATACCATAAGCACAATAGGTGACAAATGAGATGTAGAAAAAACATATTTTGTGTCTTACTTTGTGAATCCCTCCTTGCCAAAGTCCAGTCCTGTCGGCACTAGTTTGACGTTCCTCTTCTTCAGTGCATAGTCGACCACCCACTCATTCTCCTCAATCTGACATGGACATAAACAATGGATGTTGTTAGAGGAATACAATGCAATTTCAACGGCAAAAACTGGATTTTCAAGGTCAATTTTCTGATAATTCTTTTAATGCATAAAATGAATCAACCCTATCCCATAACATACTGATATCTGTCAGGCAGAAATGCAATGTCACTAAAAGAAAATGATTGCTTGTTTCATGTCATAGGCTGGGTCTACCTATTCATTTGTGGTACCAACAAATAGGGACTCCTCAGGTAGCTTGTTTCTGGGCTGTTTCAAACTCTAAGTACTAAATGATGATAAAAATGTCCACAAAGGGATACAATATTGATTGCTTCAGACATCAATGCTTGATGCTTGAAAAGATGCTTGAAAAATATTGATCACTAAAGGAAGGGCTAGTCAGAAGGTTTTCCATACCATGACAGAGCAGGTGCAGTACACAATGTAGCCACCAGAAGTCGACTTTGCATCACAGGAGTCGATGGCTGCCAGGATGAGTTCCTTCTGCAGGTGGGCATGGCGCTTGATATCGGCATCATCCTGGTCACAGAGTAGGACAAAAATTAGACTTGCTGTTCTTCAGATTATAAACTGTTTTTTCTATTTTACTACCCCAAAAAATAATCAAATCCTTCACTGGAGCTTGATGCAGTACAGTCAAAGTTGCTGAAGCAACCAGGTCTATCAGCCAACCATCTAGCCATGAAAACTGCTTGATGCAAGCATTAAGCAAAATCTCTTTGGTTGCTTAAGTAACAGTTTTCTTGTGTATCTCATAACCTTGAAGTTCATTGACATACCTTGTTAGTTTTGATGGAAGGGTCTTTGGAGATGACTCCTGTTCCTGTACATGGTGCATCCAACAGTACACGGTCAAATCCACCAATCACCTGCACCAAAATAACAATGTTTGTTTGCCTGTTATTTTCTATACATAGATGTCAAGTACATGCTGTATGCAACTGTACAACAGTGCCTTTACATTATTTTTAGGTGCACTGGTGCACCCACAGTCCAAGCATTAGCAGCACAGCTCAAATTTCGGACAGGAAAAGTACATCAGATTTTTCACTTGTGCACTCGCAGTCAAAAAATTAGGTGCATAGCTTGCTTTAACTCTGGGTGCATATACATGTAAGTTCATATGTAACCAGTTTTTGAACCCTGAATGACTTTGACTGAGAGCCCTAAATTTTTAACTAACTAAAACAAGTGTTCTGCCAAACCTTTGGGAAATGTCTCCCGTCGTGACAGCTGACAACAGTGTTGGTTACCCCCAGACGATGTAGGTTCCCCACGATGGCCTTCACTCTGTCTTTGTTCACATCATTGGCAAACAACATCCCTGTGTTCTTCATCAGTTGAGCTGTAGGGAAAACATTGGGATCATTTTTGCTACATAAGACACTACATGTAGGAGTCTAAATAAACATTCTGTTGGCTGCTTATCCATGTTTCTTTAATCTCGATGACCATACGTTACTCTGACAAATTGTTCAAGCACAGGTACAGGTCTGCAACTGTACTTAAACCCCTGTACCTGTACCTGTACCTGTACTTGTACAAACATGCCATTCCATAACAAAGTGCTGTTATCATACCGATATATGTAGTCCGCCCCTTAGCTATAACCCTTAAAATGGATGCCATGAGTGTTGAATGAAATTTATTCTATCTATAAATAAATGCTTAGAGATGATTCTGAATTTTTTGTGACTTTTAAAACCCTAAATGTGCAGCTTCTAAAAAAGCCATTCCAAAACAAATTGGCAAGATCGTACCGATATAAGTAGTCTTCCCCCCTGGAGCTGAGCACATGTCCAGAACCTTCTCCTTCTCCTGCGGAGCCAGCGCCATGACGGGCAGGAAGCTGGCTGCACCCTGCAGGATGTAGTGGCCTGCCAGGTACTCAGGAGTCGCACCTGGGAACAACAGGGTAATCACTTTCTCTGGCAGAACAAACAGGAACTGCAGTGCAGATGCAGACATACTGATGCACGCACATATAAACACATAAAAAGGATATAGTGTCCAGCTAGGTACATTGTACCTGTACTTTGGGGTGGCTCCTGGAAACAACAAGGTGATCAAAGATTCATGCCCTCTGGCATAACAAACAGGTACTGCAGTGCAAAAAAAAATACACACAAACTCGCATAGGATGTTACCATAACATTTTACCATAACAAAAATATTTCATCCAAGCAACATTCTAGTAGCCTGGATGCCAGACTGTTGCCAGGGCCAATGTATTATTTCCTTGGGGACAGGTTGGCCTGGAGCCAAGAAGCTAGCCTGTATACTAGCCCTGGCTCCCAGGCTACATCCTTAGCAATAGTGTTTGATAAAATAGCACCCATTAGTATATTAAGTAGACCTAAGGACCCAGGCCTTACCGATGGGCACAGCAGAGTCGTACACCACCAGTCCTACTTTAGACCACTTCCCGACAGGGTCCAGGTTGACTCCCCTGTTGATGAGGGCCTGGGCCAGGTCCCGTCTGCGAGTCTTCAGGGTGTTGGTCCTGATGGTCACGGGACGGTCTACCTCACACGCCTCCAGGAACTCTATCACCTAGACATGCATACAACTGTTCTCATACCATTGCAAGTAATCTGTGAATAGGTTGGTGAGTCACTGAATAAAGAGACTCAGTAAAACAATCAGAATTGCCCTGAGTAAGGTGGCAGACGGTCACCGAAACGTCGGCTGAATAAAACACTTGGTGTTGCAATGAGAGTCTCTTTATTCATGGCATGTTATGTTATGGATGACTGGCATGTTGATTTTTGCCTGATTTGGGGGGAAAAACTGTTTCCTTCCAGCAATGGTCAACATAATTTAAGTCTCAATGTAGTTGTAGAAGTGACACTAGTGCTGAAGTCTTAAGTGTACTTGTAGCAATGCCAGGCTACACTTTCCTGGTATATCATTCTCTGCACTTCGTAAATAGGAATGGTGGTAGCTGTGATACCATGTTCTGTAGCTTTTCAAGTCCCATACAATTTCAGTTATTTCTACATCTTTATCAGAAATGCTTCCATACCTCAGCTAGTGGAAAAAGCTGCATGATTTTCTCCATGAGGTATTCGTTGTAGCTGTAGTACAAACACAGGTCCTTCTGTAGGAGCTGGACATACTCCTTACGGGGCCTGGAAAATAGCATCAGTGTGGTATTAGCAAACACACTACTCTCACAACTTGTAATACTACCGGTAGTATAGTTTTATTGACTTTGCATTTGGCCTAGCCTGATACTTCTAGATAGCAGCTCTCCCATTGATAAGCCTTCACTATAAATAGCCCCTTACAACAAGAGATTGTGTAACACAGGCTAGCATTTGGCTGTTTTATATGTAACCTACATACATTTCTTTGAGTTACAAAGCCATACATATACATGGCTACAGTCAATACTACTAGCTACATATACCAGGTATCTATACAGTAATCGCAGTGATGCATCTTGACATTACCACCCCTTTGTCTGTACCTTTCGTCTTTCCGTTTGTTGTTGAAGTCTGCTAGAACAGCCATGTTTTCCTTGATGCGCATGTGGATCATGGTCAGGTCTGGGGGCTGCACACGTACAGCGATGGTCAAGGTCAAATAAAAACACCTCTGTATTTACATTTGACAGTCCTACAGACCGACAAGCATTGTTATAATATTTCTAAGTAATTATACCAGTACTAGTGCCAATCAGCAAATCCTCATTCTAGCTGACGAACCCAAAATTGGGCACATCTGTTTCAGGAAAATTTGGGTAATTTTTATTATTTTTTTGGGGGGGGGCTATCTTTTTTTACAAATGCTGGTCAAAAAGGATATTTTCCTTCTCAATCTCCTGGCCACTGGGCAGAACAAATGTCTCAGCTTCCGCGATGTTGGTGCGAAGTTCCTCCTCTCCTAGTTTCCTGTACAGACACAGAAGAGTTTTCTTTTTGTTTAAAAGCTTATAAAAGACATTTTGTACACAAGAAAACAGTTACTCAAACAACTGGGTAGATGTTTAAAAGTTATACAAAATCCATCCAGTTGCCAGAGCAACTGTTTTCTTGTGTATCTCATTACCTGGATGTCTTGCCTTCATTGACATTCTATACAATTAACTTATGACAAACATACACAACTTGTACGAAAAAACTGTTGCAATCCGATGAAAAGTATATCAATATCTTACTCTTCTCTCTGTTGCTTCTTTTTCAGTTTCTTGGCAGCCTTTTCTATGGGCAGTAAGGCTTCATCTTCCTCTTGCTCTTCTCCATCATCATCATCACCATCATCATCGCTGCTGTCAGAGTTGTCTGAGTCATCTTCATCTTCTTCTCCCTCTGAGCCATCTTCATCATCAAGAAACTCATCTGCTGGCTAAAACAAGAAGAAGGACTATAAGATGCAATAAAACTCTACATGAAAACTATCATTAAACCACTGCATTAAACACTACGGATGTCACATCTAGTCTCAAGGTGGCAAAACAAAATAAATATTCTGGATAAGGAAATCTGTTTGATATTGACATTTACTGCCATTTCTTAGGATATATTTGTCATGAAATAGCCCCCAAACAAGCTGCATGACTGAGGCATCTCTTTATTTTTTAGGAGACTGACCATGTCATCATCCGAACTTTCATCATCCAAGTCCAGTTTCTTCTTCTTCCCTGCAAGACGGAGCCAGGACTTGTTCTCATCAGTAAAGCCTGACGCAGGATCTTCATCCTCATCATCATCATCTTCCTCATCCTCATCTTCTTCTTCCTCCTCATCCTCTTCCTCTCCATCCTCATCTTCCTCTTCTTCTTCCTCCTCCTCTTCTACATCATCCTCCTCCTCACTGTCTTCCTCCTCCTCCTCATCTTCCTCCTCCTCCTCTTCAATATCACTGTTCCATTCATCACTGTCACTGACAGACCCACTACGTGGCCTCTGTTTAGGGGGAAAAATATCAATACTTTTAGAGATTGCTGATTAAACAAAGAGTGATAAATGCTACTTGTCATCACAACTTTATAACTGTGTCAGGGTCTCCTGCTTGCAGCATACCCTGGGTGCCAGACTAGTTTCAGGCCGCTAGCCGTTTACCTTCGGCAGCCAGAAGCCCCTTGCCCGCCTATCTACATTATACCGCTGTGGGGGAGTTGAGCACGAGGGGAGTTACCAGCCCTGTGTCGGGGAGGGTGGTATAGTATTGCACACTGACACCCGCGGAGGCTGGCACCCAGGGTACTTGCAGCAATACTATAATCCAACATTGTATATTAGTTATTTACTACTACACTGTACTACTACTCCTACTATAATAATTATAGTACAAATATGGCACTAAATCATGTACCTTCTGTCCTTGTGACAGTCCCAGTGTTACTGGTACCTTCTTCTGTGCTGCCTTAGCAGCCCCCTTGTTGACTGCCTTCTGCATCCTTTTGGCCAATCTGTGTTGGATACATTTAACTTATACATGTGCCCATCATCATTTAAGTTTAACTTGCAGGTAAAATTATAAACAACTTGCAGTTTGGGACAGAAACCGTTTTGATTGTAGATAAAATTCCTAACAACGAACTTGCCATATTGCATCATATTTTGAGCCCTGATGTTGGTCTACCAGCAAAATTTGCCCCATAAATTAAGTTAAAATGCTGGGAATAATATTTCAAAATATAATGAATTGAGGAAAAATTGTTACCTTTGCTTTTGTCGGCTCGATAGTATCTTAGATCCACTGTCTGAAACGAGAAGCAGTACAGTTACAAATGGGCAGTTTTATTATATTGTAATTTACGGAAAGCTGTTAGAATGCTAACGGGGGGTGCCCTAATAGACCCATTCGACTTTCACGGATCGCATAAACTGCATACGTCACAGGGGGTACATTTCGAATAGAAACTACGTCACAGGGGGGACATTTCGAAAGTTCCTTTCACAGATTGCATAAACTGCATACGTCACAGAACAAAATAACCTTAAATTGTTGTACGGAATTCCACCATGCAAAGTTGGTGCCAGTTTTCCTGTCATTTCCGCATATATTACAGAGAAAAAAAGACACTACCTACACTTTAGTAAAAAAATAATTTGCCAGGGGGGACACCGCGAGCGCAAGCCGCGTTCGACTTCATCGTTCTAGAACGATGTTCTTTCGAAATGTCCCCCCTGTTACGTAAGCAGTTTATGCGGTCCGTGAAAGTCGAATGGGTCTATTCCGACCTATGTTCCATGCAAACGCACAGACCTTTGGTAATAGTTTATCTGACCAAAACCACGTGCAACATGAGATATAATATTGACAGATAAAGATCACAACGATTAAAGCTGCACAGCTGTGTATTTCACTTGAGTGTAGCGCCTTGCACCCAAGCGTAATGGCTCACGAAACACACGGCAGTTTTTTGGTCATTTTGCCGGTGGAACGTTCTATCGCAACAGGGGTGCCCTAATTCCGACCTAGTGTTTAACACAGGTCGATCTGAGAAGAGAGTTTAGATATTATAATACACAGATTATGACTAAAACAATCTACAACTGTTTTCTGTCCCAAACAAGTCCTCTTTTTACGATTACGCGACTTGCTCCAAAGCGGCTGTTTGAAAAGCAAAACCTGCATTTTTGACACGCTCGTCAACCCCCGAACAAGCGTCGAAATAATTCACACAGATTTTTCACTCGTCTGTTGTCGGAGTGTAGGAACTAAAACAAACTTTGTGAGATTACCGATATCAACACAAAAACATTGTCCATTCTTGTGATTATTTTTAGGCACGTGCTCCCATGCATAACGCCGCAACAAGGATTTTTCAAACTAGTTCGGTATTAGGGATGGGTCGGAATTAGGGCACCCCCCGTTAATCTTCCATCAAAGCTTTCTTACCACTGCATCTAAAATTTTGTTACCTCTGAATTTTAATTAAAGCAACATTTACCCAACCTAGTTCACAATCTTCAGTCAAAACGATTATGAAGAAAATTCATCATTTGACTGTCATCTATACTTTTTTGGGGATGCCCAAACATCAAATCTATTTCTTACTAACGCAGGTAAACTATCACACAGATCACATCATGCCCCCCTCCCACAACTCACCCTGCTGCAGCAGTTGACGCGGCATCTGTGGTGGTTTCTGTTTCCTCGCCTTCCTCCCGGGACCTTTTTTCTGGGCCTCGGAAGGGTCTGGTCTCTTCCGACCCATGGCTGGGCACGATTTGGTCCTCAAGATCGGAGAAAAGCCGCCAAAACTCGGTCTGCAGACGAAAAACTACAGCAGCTAGCAGTCGACACGGCACGTGTACCAGCTTGTTAGTGATGAGGGCGTCGCATACACGCGTAGCAAATTCATCGATATCATTCTAGTAAACATCAAACAAACACATAGTATACTTTTCTTGTTAGTAAATAAATATTCATTTATATTTCTTAACAACAAATTGAATAGTTTTGTCAGAGTTTTAAGATTTCGTTGGTTTTGTTACATTTATTTGTTTGTTTCAACGCCTTCACTTGGAGTGATACATTTTGTGGTGCCTGTGGCTATTGACAGGATCGTCCTGTCAATAGCAGAAAATATTGCACTGCTGACAGGATAGTCCTGTCAATAGCAGAAAATATTGCACTGCTGACAGGATCGTCCTGTCAATAGCAGAAAATATTGCACTGCTGACAGGATCGTCCTGTCAATAGTAGAATAATTTGCACTGCTGACAGGATTTTTTCCTGTACAGCAAGTGTCAAATTTTTCTACTATTGACAGGATCGATAAAATTTTGGTATTTTTATTTCATACTGGAAATTTTGGGGTGGGCGCTGGTTCGTGTAGATCTTATGTAGGTGTTATTACTAGTTAGCATGTATGCTATTAGGCCATTTTTTACGATCCTGCGCTGCGGCCCCTGCAGATCGTCGTGCATACATTGATCCCCCGCTCGGTAGCGCCCTTTATTTCGGCCAATTTCTACTATTTTTCCAGCGATCCGCGGTGCCTGGTAGAGGCTAGTCGGGGCGACAGTAAGCCATTACGGCCGGCGCCGCGGGAATGACACAGCGGCCCACCGGCGGGTACGAGACAGCGCGTCGGGGTGAAAGCATGGCGGACAAGGTCTACTCGAAACCTTACCCTGCAATCAAGAACAGCCACCGTATAAACAATATGGCCTAGCCTGGATGCCATCCAGGCTAACTACAGCAGTGCTATAGACGAATTCCAGCAAATTGACTTCCTTCAGTTATTTAAGTATAGACGTGTGTTGCTTGGTCCATGAGGGGACCCCGAGGTGATAGCTTACTGATGAGTGAAGGGGTCCCCCAGGCCCTGGGGTCTCCGATCAGCCGAGTAGGCGGGCAACACAACAGTACGGTATTCCCTGCGTAGTCTCCACCAGACTCTTTTGCAGGCTGAATAAATAGTAGAAAAAAATAAAAAGTCGACCCTCTATGGCCGACCAACTCCCCTGGCTAGCTATACTCTTTTTATGCCGATTTCTACAATTTATTACTCCGTGAAGGAGGTCAGGACCTCCGGACGGAGTGTTGTGATCGACTGATTTTTCATGTTCGCAGTCAAAACACTGGGTTCTCTTTGTGTAATCGGCACGCAATTTTATACGCCGTCTGCGGGCATGCCCGTGTTGATGCACGAATGTGTATTTTTGCCGTTGCTGCTTTCGCGGTCAATGTAATATTGCAGACGCACCCCTACAATTACGAGGCGAATTGGAATGGTCCAGAAAAACGCGTTGTTTGGAATAGCAGTGGGGGGGGTGGAACTTCATGCAGATACGGGGTGGTTTTTATAAGTGGTTCCAGATGTTTTTGCCCATGGTTAAGAGATGCCAAGTTTTTTGGAAGATGTTCGCAGCCAAAACGCATTCTTCCGTACGTCGCATTTCTGTGTAATTTCGCATGTGGTGTGGCATTATGTCCGGGATGATGCACGGCTTTTTATTTTTACCGTAGCTGTTTTGATATTGAAGTAAATGCATATTTTAGAAACATCCCTACTTTTACAATCCTGTGGAATAGGCCGTAGGTTTAGGCAGTTGTCTGGTAGCAGAGGTACTATAAGCAGATATCCTGGTTATCTGGCCGGCGGTAGTAACACTCGCGGTGCTTACCGCAACTGTTGCTGGAATTTGTCCTGTTCCAGGCGCGCTTAATTAGGTACAGGCACGGTAAGACGGTGGGGCTATCTTTGTTACTAGACACGACCATGATAGTCCTATCTTTATGTGAATGCAAATATTGTGTTTGTTTAATTAAAATGAACTTCGAACGTGAAGCACAGTATCTTTACACGCCCTGGGAGCAGTAATGGATTTAGCTCTTTGTATGTTTTATGCTTGTGACGCGCCCTCATTGTATTAACCGTTGCCTAATTATAATGTCTGCACAGTAGGTCTGGCGTTGACGCTTGGGATTTTGTTGAAATATATAAAACTTCACGGAGGATTGTTACCTATGGCTTCTTGTTCAGACTTCAAAAGAGTCTGGTGGAGACTAAATAGATCTAAATCGTAAATAGTCACTGTTACTTCTAGGTCCTCCTGTCCAGTCAGTTGTAGAACTGTATTGCGTAATGTCATCATCATATTAGAGTAGAGTAGAGTAGAGTAGAGTAGAGTTGTTCAGGCCGGGTAGGAGTCCTGTTCCAATATTGAGGAGACATAAATGATAACTATATTGCACAACAATAGTACAGCGTACAAAGTATAGCATCTACTGGTACATAACATAAATTTCAACTATACAGACAATGCCATAGAATTTGTGGATGCCCTTTCCAATGCCGGTTTTAGATTCCATTGTCATGCAAGGATCCAAGCAGACGTATCGATCGGGCCGGGGGGGGGGAGTTTTGGCCAATCACAGCTCGCAAAAAGTTTGCCCGCCTGTTTACTCGAAAAACTATGTAAACACAACTGCCTTCGTATTTCAGACAGCTTATGCGTGAAATTCGCCTGTATTTATATTTTGAGCATGTCTAGTTTTGACATGTATCTGCTGGAGTACTCTGTAATGATAATAACTAGCTGTTAACGCGATGATAGCCGCCATCGTGAAACGCCTAATCTACAGTACAGTAGCATATGCCTTCTGACTGAAAAAAATGAAAACATGGTTAAAAAAAATGAAAACATGAAGAAATCATGTCAATACAGCCCAAAATGGAAGATTTAAAAAATCCTGTCAATAGTGCCAAAAATGGCACTGCTGACAGGACGATCCTGTCAATAGTGTCAAAAATGGCACTGCTGACAGGATCGTCCTGTCAGCAGTGCAGTATTTCCTGTTATTGACAGGATCGTCCTGTCAGCAGTGCAGTATTTTCTGCTATTGACAGGATCATCCTGTCAGCAGTGCAGTATTTTCTGCTATTGACAGGATCGTCCTGTCAGCAGTGCAATATTTTCTGCTATTGACAGGACGATCCTGTCAATAGCCTCAGGCTTTTGTGGTAGCTCAAAGAAGAACGACGTAAATCCCAAGTTACCTCAAAAACGCATATTTTTTACCCAGTATAAAGAGATTAAGAAGATTTAATCAAAATCTCTGAACTGATCGAAGAGAAACCGTTAAGGGCGTTGTTTTTGCTCAAAAGACGGTCCAAAAGTGGTGTCGTAAAATGACGCCAGGCTTTTAAGTGCCGCAAAGTGGGCTGGTCCATGCACCAAGATGGCGGCGGCGAACTGGGAAGAAGTGCAAGTCGCTCTCAAAGAAAACCGGCGCGAACTCGTATTATCTGGCGCTAACATTGACCAAAAAATCAAACTAAACGGAGTAGACCCTGCAATCTACCAACTGCGCCTCTTGAACTTCCTAGAAATCAGTCGCACATGTATGTCGGAGCTGTCTGAAGACTTAGGAAATCTGACTGCCCTGCAGAATTTGATCCTGCACAGTAACAAACTAACGCAGCTACCTAACAGTCTAGGTAAACTACAGCAGGTGAAGGTGTTGGACGTCTCGCAGAATGAGCTGGAGAGTCTACCTGACACGGTAGGACAGGTGTTGTTGTTGTTGAAGGAATGGCTCATCCTGTCAATTAGATATACAGTAACTTGCATTTTAGCATACCGGGTAATAATTTTTTTAGCATTTTTTTTATACAGGATGATCCTGGCAAATATATAGTGCAGAATTTTCCACTATTGACAAGATCAGCTTGTCAATAGTCTCAGCCCTTCGTTAATCTGCTCTCGCTCTTCGAAAGATAGTCCTATGTGCTTGCCGTCTTGCTTTTGTTTTTTTTTTAATATTTTTACCCAAAATTATTGTCAATTTTGTCTGTCAAGGTTTACAGATTGGTTTAAAAATTTTTCCGCCACACCCCACAAAGTTCTGGCAATTGACAGAGAAACGGATGCTGAATAGAGCCCTGATCCAGCATACAGCTCCAAAGTCCCCGTGTGAGTTGACGTTACGCGTAGTTGGCCCTCTTCCCTCAGCCATAGGTTACATGCATGCTTCTCTGTTCCAGATAGGGCAGATGGCATCGCTGAGGATTTTGAATGCCAGCTGTAATCACCTGAAACAGCTGCCTGAACTCGGGCACCTGGAGCACCTGGCTCATCTGGACGTGTCCCACAACCAGCTGGTGCACCTGCCTGATGACATGTACAAGCCCGACAGGTGGGTTAGTCACCATGGTAACTCGCAGCTGATTTATGATGTGTTCAACATTTTTTTATACTGTCATATTGTTGTATAGGTTAGGCAATACTGACCTGATTATATGGATGATGCCCACTCGCACATTAATCTTTGTTCATTGCCCCCAAATCTGCAACCAAATGTTTGAGATGACAGATGTCAAGGGAAAAAAAAAGATGCCAAGCAGCCATAGAAAGGAAGCAGGAATCAAATTAACATTTGCTTGCACCACCAAGTCTTTCAAAGTCAAAGCTTACAAACGTGTCAATATTGAGAGTAAAAGACATGAATGTGCTGTAATATTATCAAATTATCATTATTATCATTCTCTTCCAGCCTCCTAGCTGAGCTCCATGCTGGGAGCAACAGTCTAACAGAGATCAGTGCAGAGATTTCTGTCCTCCCGGCACTGAAAGTCCTGGACATGTCTGAGAACAGGATCACCGAGGTTCCTGCCCAGCTGTCTGCCTGTGGCAAGTTGAAGGTGACCAAAGCAGATTTTAGGGCTTAAAAACCAGTCAATATTATAGTTACATGTACTGTCTACATACCATGTTGAAACTATATTATCCTAATGTATATTGATATTCATGGAGCAGCAAAAACGGTTACTGGTAGGATCCTGGGCTGATTTTTGAAGCACCACCCAGAAAATAAAGGACTTGTTTCTGCACTGGCTGTTTCTACACTGTAGCAAATGGCCAAAGTATGCTGATTCAGATGCAAATGTGCTAATGTGGGACGGTGTGTGTCAGTATCATACAGATTGCCTTATTCAGAATATTCCAGTTTTGTCACCATAAAATTGTATTTGACGCCTCTAAAGGAGCTGAATCTAAAGGAAAACCCGCTGAAGGACAAACGTCTGGATAAGATGGTGAAGCAGTGTCAGGCTAAAGCCATCCTGGACTACATCAGGCAGAAGGCAGGGGGCGCTAAGGGCAAGTAGGTGGCTTACAGATGTTCTCTTACTCAACTGCTAATAAAACACTTCTAACACAACACTTTCATAGAAACTACAGTTGCTAAGTTTAAGATTTGCTATTTGACTTGAAGAGAACCTATCCCCTAGACTAGACTTCACATAACCAGTTGAATACTTAAGCAAGTTTAAACTATTTATGTTTAGCCTGGTGTGAACGCAAATTAACTGGCTCCATAAGGGTTTTTACTGGTTCTGCCAAAACCACTTGGAGATGAGGTTTAAGCCAGATTCACTCAGATAGAAATATAGATAAATTCAAAATAAGGCTCCCCTTACTGCTTGTCACTCAAAACGTATTGTTGGAGTGCAAACAATACCTTCATTCTCCAAGTTGAACTTATGTTGATCTATGTAACTACATGTACATGTATGTTCTTTATAATCTCTTGTCCAGAGGAAAGGGTAAGAAGGGGAAACACGACAAGCACAGCGGGGGTGACCAGGCCTCAGACCTGGCCGTACAGATGGACCGAGTGCTGCAGGTGACGTCCACTCCTCCGGACAGTCCTGACCAGATCAGGGTAAGGACTACGTCTGAGAAGGTTTTAGGTGTTCAGAGATGGCAGTTTTGAGCTATTGATTTGACAGTAAACTACTCAATTAATGATCCGTAATATTCATTAGCTGTAAAATGAATCCCCCCTGTGGCACCTGCAGGTGCAGGTGACAGCTGCGGCGCTCCAGGTGCGACCCTACCTGGTGTGCTGTGTTCTCCACAACCTGAACCTCGATGCACCTGAGGACTTGAGGCAGTTTCTGGCCATCCAGGTAAGTTTCTTCACAAGTCATACCTTAATAAGCCTGTCAAGACTGAGCAAAACCAAATGACAACTGCATCTCTTCAAATCTTGAATCTGATAAAGTGATATTCTATAGCTGACTTAAACAACTAATACAACAAAGGGTTTTAGTATTTTTTCTGACACTCTAATGTTAAGAATATGCTGTATACAGGTGTTCCTTTGTGTATGTGATCAACACAAGTATTCAGATGTACCAGTGCACAAATTGGGTACACAGCTCCAACTTTGAGTCCACAAAAGTGCATAATATGCATTCAGTATTTTGAGCCCTGTCCTACCCGTATTAAATTGAGTGTGAATATGTTGTGACCTGTGCCTTGTACAGAACCAGCTCCATGACACCCTCTGTGGGAAGAGAACCCAGGCCACCATCGCCACCCACGACCTGGCCATGGTCAGCAGTCCGCTCACCTTTGACGCCAGGGCACCAGCGGAAATTTCAGTGAGTAGCTGGGAAAGCTGGAAGTTGGAATAAGTCTCTCATGGTGTCTACTGCCTTGTCATGAATGTGTATTATGAACAAATGAATGAGCATAGAATGAAGCCACAATTAGAAGTCCAGGTTATACCAGCGTTTACATAAATGATAGTCCAACCCTCGAGCAAGGAGGACCACGAGACGTTAAATGGATAGTAAGTGAGTGAGTGAGTGAGTGAGCCATGAAAAACATACAAAAAAATGCTAATAGCTTAATCAACAGCCAGTTTTAAGTTACTTTCTTGGTTTATTTTCGTCTTAATAAGTCTGCTCGACAAGAAATTGTTGATTGTTTTTTGGTTGTTGATTATTGTTGTTGTTGTTGTGCTAGATTCACCCCCTGGGCCGTCAGAAGGAGATGACATCGCTGACGGTCCTGCGAGTGTTACGGAAGGAGGCGGACCAACAACGTCGTGACAAACACAGGAAGCAGGTGTCTGGGATCCACAAGTAAGCTTGGTACTTTGCTGGGGCTGTGTTAGGCTACAGACAGTAGGCTACCGAGTTTCTGTTGAAATAACTGTAAGTTGTCTTGTAAATGCACAATCATACACTAAAAACAAACTGTGACCACATAAAGATTTCCATGCATTATACACAGACTCTTGGCGTACTCTTTCTGCTCTACAATTTGGAGGCTTTTCTCTCTTACATCATTTTTACCTCTTAGTAAGAAAGAAAATGTAGTGAATGAATGTGCCTGGCCTCATTACTACGATTCTGAAGCCATTTTGTTACTTGATGGACTAATCTTTACATGCACTGTCAAGTCTGTAAGTTAGTGTAACAACTGAGCTTGACCAGACATAATTGATTGTACTTTGTTTTCCCATCCTGTAAGGTACCTGGACCTGCTGAACAGGTATTGGGAGCTGTACAGCTGTCTGGAAAATCACTGTGAATTTCACTGTAACAACTGGACATAAATATACATTAGACATTGTACTTTGTTTTACCATCCTGTAAGGTACCTGGATCTGCTGAACAACTTTGAGCTGTACCCCTGTCTGCTGGACAGCACTGGTGCTGTCATCTCCTTCCCTCCTATCACCAACAGCCAGAAAACTAAGGTACACATGTATGTATGACAGCACAAATAGACTGTTCAATTTCTCAATACAAGCAAAAGTAGCTCACCTCAAATTGTGACTGAAAATTCTTATTTCCAACCAATCTTCATGAAACACATACTTTTGTTAGATAATAGGTTAGAAAAAAAATGTTTTCTTTTTCTATAGATCAGTTATACCACCAAGTCAGTGCTGGTAGAGGTGTCCAGCTCAACAGACCTGGCTGTGTGTAAAACTGTCATGGAGGAACTCCTGAAGCAGACTGTGGAGATGGGACTGTGTGGGTCACTCACGGACACTAGTACCCAGGCTGACACCCAGACAGACACCCAGGCAGGGGCACAGGTTAGTGTGGGAGTGATGGGTCTGCATGGGTCACTCAGACACCCACGCTGACACCCAGGCAGAAGCACAGGTTAAGCTGGGAGTGGTGGGGCTGTGTGGGTCACTTACACACCCAGGTAGAGAGTCTTGAAGTGATGGGTCTTTGTTGGTCACTAAAACACCCAGGCCATAAGGCACAGGTTGATCTTTCAGGATCACTCCCACATAGGCACCCAGGTAAAAACATGGGTTAGCATTTTAGGTAACTGATCAATTTTAGCTCTTTTGTAAGCCGTAAAGAGACTTTCAGAGTGGGAAAAGGAAAAAAAAAATTGGGATGAGGAAATCTGTCTGATCTCATGTTGATGTTTCCTGTGTCATTTATGTTTTTCATTTTGGTCATCATTTAATTTCATAAAACATTTGCAATAGCCTAAAAGTAAAAGCTGAAGAAGATTGACTTTGAAAATCCAGTTTTACTGTCATGAAATTGTTTGTTTGAAGGCAAAAAAAGAGAACACAAAAAACATTGCTGACTTGTATTTTTCAGGGCGATGGTCCGAGCGGTAAGGTGTTAGTAGTGGAGCAGGTACGAGTGACTGGCGGGGACGGACAGCTCCGAGTGCTGTACCCCTCCCGCACAGACCTGCAAATGGACTCTTCCATCCTCACCGTCCTCAGATAGCTACAACTTCGAATATACTCCAACTCAGAATCTGTATGTTATTCCCAAACAAACAATTTTCATCAAAAGGATGTACCCAGTTTTGTTTGGTTTCAACTCCTTGGTTTAAACAAGGAGCTTTAAATCTTGGTTTTAATAATACTATTGCAAGTGGATTTTTCTTAATGGCATCTGTCAACCAAGAAGCATCATTGGGATGTATGAAAATGTTGGTTTATGTTTACTAGTGGCCATTACCTGGATGTTGTGCCCTCCTTTTTTTACCACCAACTTTTTCTATGACCAGTCCTGATGCAGTTTAAAAGATGTACATGTAGTACAGTTTTGTAAGCCTCTTTGTTGAACTGTTGCAGTAAGTTTTGATTGCATTGGTTTAATTCCCAAATGGAACTTTGAATATTTCTGATGTTGACTATGATAAGGATTTGCTTTAACAAAGTTGTCAAACAAAAACTAAGAGACGTGCAATTAAGAAATGCTACCCAGATTGTTGATATCAAAGACAAAGAAGTCTGTACAACTGGATAGAATATAGCAAAGCATTTTTTTCTGGTCAATAGTCAGTTCTACAAAATGCTGTCACGCTAAAGAAAAAATAAAAGAAATTACAGATGCATATTGAAGTGTCACCACACATATTTGATATACTAGTGCAAACAACACACATCATCTTCTAATACGTCTTCATAATGCACACCAACAGACAACATAAAGCTTGATTACAATAAAACAAACTGATTCAATAAGTGGGTTCATGTTTCCAACTGTGCATGTGCAACAAATGCCAAAGTTATTAATAAAAGGACCTTCGGAATTAAATAAAACATGGTCAGTATTAAATTAAATACATTTACATGTATATATAACATGATTGTCCATATCTACTGATAGCCTAACTGTTCAATCCAAGGTCTTTTGGTTGTGATCTAGGAAAATCTTTCAAGCTTTACAAACATTAGAGTAAGTTGGTGAATAATAAAGGTGTAGTGTATAACTAGTTCACCAGTCCCGATGACATAGAACTCAGGAACATCTTGCAAGCTATTGTCTCAACAGCCCCTCCAACTCTGTCCTGCCACTTGCTACATAATGACATCTAACACCACATAGTGTCTGCATCACAAGTTACTATTACATAATAATGACAGCCCTCTGGTCCATGTCATTGACCATATATGTTTGGAGAAGAAGAAACAGCAAAAGCAATTATATGTTTTCCTTCTGCAGGTAAACATACTATAGGAGGGCCTGCAAGGGGGGGGGTCCCGATGACGCTCTACGCTGAATTCGGAAACCTCTCGATTACACTTTACGATAAATTCCAAGTGGCTACAACGCATTACATAGAATTAAAACGGCGAATACGCTCTACGCAAATTGCGAAGAGCAGTCTGTCTACGCTCTACATAGAATTAAAACGGCCGGTTACGCTCTACGGAAAAGGGCTTGCGGGCCCCCCTATAGGTGTAGTGTACAACTAGTTCACCAGTCCGGATGAGAGAGCAGTAAGTCCTCCCCCACCGGCCCACAGTTTCCACACCAACCCCCACATCGGCCAGAGGCAACCTGGACAATCACAAAGTTAAGATCACATCAACATGTCATTGTAGGCCATAGGTATAGTCATCATCAACTCACTGATACCATAACAATGTATTGTTAACAATGATAAACAGTCTTCGCTATAGAGTGAGCTTTCCCAGTTTGCTTTATTTAGTAGTTTTACCCTTGCTTATACCTGATTCATATTATGATCCACAAATTTGCAACTTGTTGTAGGCAGCAAGAAAAGAAACAAGAAAGGAAAGTTATCTCTTCAGTTTTACCCCACTGAATACATGTAGACATCGTGACAACAGCCACTTCTCAAGCTCCCAACCCTGTGGTTCATAGACAGAGCAGATCTTTTGGTAGCTCCAAAGACAGTGTCGAATTGGCCAGGCCCTTGGGTGACAAAATAGTAACTTGCAAATTTGATACTGTCTTTGCAGCCACCAAAAGATCTGCTTGGAGATTAAGATAGGGTTGCTAACCACTGGACTATGCACGCTACAAGATGTAAGTAACCTACTGTTCTATCCGCGGAGATGGACATATCATTGATGGTGAGTTCCCCCGGCCAGGTAGCAAACATGCCCCACTGGACACCTGGGGCCAGCACAAATTCTGTCCCGGTCAGATCCACCTGAAACGTCCCCTTGGCACACCCCTGTGTGGGGGAGTAACAGTCCCCGGCCATCCCGTATGGTACATATTTACCTGTTGGGCAAACAGTAAGTGAATTCTTATACATCTTTTCCAAAGTTGTACCTGAGCAGCCTCTACCAGACTTCAAAAGTGGCTGGAAAGAGTAGAAATTGGCCAAATAGACAGATAACATGCCAGGGGAGTTGGTTTGGGAGAGGCAAAATCAGTGCAGAATCAGGGGGAATAAGCTATAATTTGTCAGTTATAAAGATTAACACCATTTGGCGAAGGTATGAGATCGAGGAACTCTAGTTATGATCTACCTTCAGTCGTGGCAAAGGTGTAGTCATCCAGTATAACCCTGACGTTGGAGTCCTCAAAACTGATCCTGACTTTGCTGAACTTTGTGGTGCCAGCCATTGCTCCCCAGTACCCCTTCAGATCGTAAGAAAAAAAGAAACAAATGAATAACATGTGATTATCTTATATCGTATCCGAAGAAAAAATCAGGAGATCTAGCTTTGGCCAAGCTTGACTATATGGATGACATGGCTTGGCGCATCAGTTTTCAATCCCCCCAAAATTTTAAAGTTTGCAGCCATACTGTCACATTTCCAAACCGGGCCTGGGTCCCAGCTGGGCAGTTTTGATTAACGAAAAAAAAAAGATTTATATCAATAATATATGCAAATAGTTCCCATTATCAATTTTTCAAAACGTTTTTCTGGTTTGTTGTCTTTTATATCATACTTTCTGTTCCATAAGACTTGCCCGGCTGGGCCCCGGTTTGGAAATGTGACCCCACCATTGGGTACTTGGGGTTGAAAGGAAAAGAAGATGCCAGGAGAAGGGAAGCAAGACTCAAATTACCACCAAAGTCTTCTTAAGTCAGTCTAAAAAAGTCTTTAAGATATGGAAGAAGAAAAAAAGAGTTTGTCACTTACGAATAACGGCCCGGTGCATCTGTACCAAATGGCGCCGCTCCACTGCAGTCTGGGCCCGTATCGATGGGCGAAGTTGTTGTCAGGTCCGGCGGGGAGGGTGAGGAACTCCTGCGGGTTGTCGGATGACATGTTGTGGCAGTAGACTCGGACAGATGTGTCTTGGTGGGCGGAGAAGGGGTACAGGGTGTACTCGCCATCCTCGGCTGAACCACGACGGGCCTTCATTTCGAGACAGGACGCCGCCCCTTGTAACAAAACGTGTTCTTCAGTGTTATTTTCGTAGTAGACGTACCTGAATCTGTATCATTATAGCCGGTATAACCGCCCTTCGGCGTAACACACCAGCTTAACACACCAGATATTGTTAATAATGAGTACAAGTAACTTAATTTAACTACTTCCTGTCCTTCCTTTTGATTCATTCATTTATTGATTGATTGTAAGGTTTGAGCTGCTCACACCAGGAAGGACCCTACTCTTTCCGATAAGTGTGTTGGGTTCTTTAATATGCTCAAGGTGTGGCTCTTCTCAAACACAGGGACTCCGGCTTTACATTCCATCCAAGACGTCCCTAATCGAAGGTAGGTATGTATTTTCACCTGAGTCAAGTGAGGAAATAGGTGTAAACTTAAAATTGCCTTTCCCAAGGACACAACTTGGAAAAGTCGAGAGCGCCAGTCGAATGTTTGTGACTGAGGTTGTCGATACCTTCGATGCTCGCAGACGCAAACTAACACACTCTTTCACCAATCGGCTCCTCAACAGTAATAACAGAATCATAAAACTCGCAATCCACTCAGACTTATCATCCACCAGTCACTACTGGGATCACTATATCGGCCTTGTCTACCGGTAAGGCCCTTCTCGTTTGTATATGTACCGAACCCTACCGTTTTTACTATGTGTGCACCTTGTTATTTTAATTGTTTGTCTACTATGGGCCAATTGCGCCTGAAATAAAGAATAAAGAAAGACAACACTGGCACATTCCAAGGATTCGAAGCCAGAACCTTAAGATTCCGTCACCACATACGTACAAGACCTCCGAGCCACCTCCGTTATGTATAAGGGTGAGAAGACACAAGTATTTGTGCATCTATAGTTCTGACATCTTTGAAACCTACAAATGTACCTCTGCTTGTACCTGCGGATGCCAATGTGAAACGGTCCCACATTACCTACTCCACTGCCCCATGTACAACTCCCAACGATCTACTCTCCTTGGCAAACTATCCAGGCTCATAGGACACACCCTAGACTTTACAACTCTTTCTGACAACGCAAAAACTGACCTTTTACTCCGTGGCAGTACCGCATTCTCATCAGTTGTTAACTCCAATATATTATCACTTACCCAAAACTTCATCACCACATCAGAACGTTTTTAAAAGATTTCAATTTCCCCCTTTCTTATTTATGTACTGTGTCCTCTTTGCCATCATTTATCATTGGGTGGGGAACCGGACCTGCGCTCTTGAATTTCCTGTATTTACTGTTTTTGACTGTCTTAAAGTTGCGTTTGTTTTTTTCTTTATTATATGTATTTATTTCAGTGGTGCCATCAACATAAGTGCTTTCCACTTGAGTGCGGCACCACCATGTCCTGTACCTTTTTCTATGTGAATGAATAAAAAAAATGTACCTCTGCACTGTGGATGAGAGAGAGTTAAGTTTCCCTGCGGCACGCAGTACCCACACCAACCTCCACATCGCGCTGAGGCAACCTGGGTAAATAACGTATACATAGAAGAAAACGTCATTATATTATAATGTTTCTAAGATCTTATTGTAGAACAAATGCGTAGTACTCCCACTGATGTGAGCTTCGGCCTCACAATTAACTCTGAAACACAATGACTTGTACGTTTTGACATAACTTCCAGGCTGAATCATCTCACCAAAAATATTCAATTTTAATATCAAGAAAATAACTTTATTAATCTTTGGAAAGTCATACAAAATAACTGTTCAATTTCATTACATGTAAGCGGACCAACAGAGGTCAAAAATCAAGATTATGCATCGGGGATCCAGCAACTGTATGTCAGTGATGTCAAAGAGGTGAGGTCAAATAGTAGTCAGCAAGTTTCTTGCAGTGATGATGAATCCTCTCGCGTACACAAATGAGTTTTCTCGTTTATCTTTTATGCTTTGTGTATATATAGATAGGCGACCTACCTTTCTATCCTCAGAGATGTACATGTCATTGATGGTGAGTTCCCCCGGCCAGGTAGCAAACGTGCCCCACTGGACACCTGGGGCCAGCACGAGTTCCGTCCCGGATAGATCCACCTGGAACAAAGATGTGCAGCCACAGACGGGCAGTTAAGAATTGCGTTCACTCTCCCAAAGGCCAGAACCGAACGCTTCAAACAGCCCTTCTTGCAATCTGCGATTGGACTTTACATTACAACATGTCAATTTCATTGTGCCTCTATTAGCCTCGGTCCTTTGCGTTGTTTTGTATTGCAATCCTTATGTATATAGACCTATACTACACAAGTTTTACATCTTTAAAAATGTCCTGCTTTGTAACCTTATGTAAACACCGCTAACAAACTTTACATAATTCTGGGAAGGCCCTACCAATGTATGTAATTTTAAGAAACAATAATTATAACTAGAAAGGTAACATTTGCAAAGCAAATGCATAATGTTTACCTTCGCATATGGTCTGCTCTGTTAATTCTACACTCAAACCAAGGAGCTTCCATCTCCATGGAAGCTCTTTGCTCAAACACATTCAGATACATGTATATGGTGGCAGTATTCTAAATCCCTCCTCCTATAAAATTTCCACATGATGTAACCCAACACCAGTAACCATGGTGACAGACGTCTGGTTCAGGTCACTAACCTTACTTGTTTGGAGAAGAAGAAGAGAAAACAGAGCAAAAACAATATGTTTTTCTTCGGTAAGCATAACAAACCTGAAACGTCCCCTTGGCACATCCCTGTGTGGGGGAGTAACAGTCGCCGGCCGTCCCGTATGGGATGTAGTTGTTGCCTGTTGTGCCAAAGGGAAACAATTGAAAGCGAATCCCTTAAGTGATGACATTCCTAAATGGTTACCTGTATCACAACATCACCATTATAGTAGATGTCAAACTGTGCCTGACTCATGTAACGGTCACATTTGTAGCAGATTGACGTAATGTAATAACGGCCATTTCGTATAAGTTTTGATGCCGTAGTATTTCCAATTAAGGAGGTATGACTTCATCTTCATCTTTGCCGGGGCTCTAAGATGTTGTACAAGCCCCGGCTACACCCCCATATAGCCCCTGTTGGGGCACTTTGGGGGGGGGGGGAGGGCCTTGGTCTAAGGCGGGCAGGCCTCCAGCCTGGCCCGGAAGGACTCAACGGAAGGAATCAACGGTGGACTAACAATGATCTAATTATAAAGATATCTCATTAAGCTATATGGCTACAGCAAGTAATTCTGACATCAGCGCGCGCATTAATTCAGGAAAAAAAGCAAGAAAATTGTTTGCCCTCGCATTAGATTTGGAGTCTGTTGAGGATGTCATCCATAAAATTTACTTGCTGTGGCTTTATAGAAGTAAAGACTGAAAGCCTTTTCCGTAGCTACTAACGTTAACAAGGCAGCTAATATAATACAGCGAATGCGGCTCTAACAAACGAAATGGCAAATATACAATACACCATTCTGTCGACTGACTTTAGACTGCGGGCCCACTCTTCCAAACAATTAATACAATAGCAAATATTATACTGGCCATGTTAACTCGGCCATCACTTCGTACTATACATACAAAACAACATCTACCTTCTGTCGTGGCAAAGGTGTGGTCATCTTGTATGATCCTGACCTTGGATTCTTCAAACGCGATCCTCACTTTACTGAACTTTGTGTACCCGGCTTCTCCCCAATAGCCCTGGAGATAGTAAAAATATAGATAGACGCTTCCCATATAAGCCAGATTTACACTGCATTAAAAAAAAGATGCTGAATGTACAGTTTATTCCATTTCGTTAATTCTGTCACACACACATACACACGTGCGCGCACACACGCACACACACGCACACATACACACGCACACACACGTGCGCAAATACATCCCAAACAATAGCATCTACCGGGCTTCAGAAGGGACTGGAAAGAATAGAAATTGATCAAATAGACAGGGGAGTTGGTCTGCTAAACGACCAACTATACTCCTTATATAGGTTTATATTACCTCCTTTATAAAGGGTTGTCATGATCACTTACGAATAACGGCCCGGTGCATCTGTACCAAATGGCGCCGCTCCACTGCAGTCTGGGCCCGTAGCGATGGGCGAAGTTGTTGTCAGGTCCGGCGGGGAGGGTGAGGAACTCCTGCGGGTGGTCGGACGACATGTTGTGGCAGTAGACTCGGAAGGGCGTGTCCCCGCATAAGGAGAGGGGGTACAGGGTGTACTCACCATCTTGGGCAGAACGGCGGCTGGACTTCACGTCAAGGCAGGACGCAGGATCTGATGAGGAAAGTTATCATTTATTTACTAAAAAGGTAAACTTTGCAAGAAAATACATAATACCTTCACATGGTTTCGCCTAGCAATTGTATTACAACAGTAAAAAAAAATACTGCATTGTTATAATCTTATAGCCTCTACCAGGCTTCGGGAAGCGACTGGAAAGATTTATAGAAATTGGCGTTGCTGCCCTGTACATGAACATGTACTCTTGCATGCCGGTCCAACTCCCCCTGGCATAACTTTATCATCTGTCTATTTGGTCAATTTCTACTCTTTCCAGCCGCTTTCGAAGCCTAGTACAGGCTAATACAATTAATCAAGTTCAGTTTTCTAGTTAGGCAACATAGCCGGAAAACTATACACTAACAGATTTTACTAGAAATATAATTTGGTCTTTGTAACGTCTAGCGCTTCATTTGGGCACATTTATTAGCCAAGCAAGGAGAATTTTGCTACCTAAACGTTAGATCAAGATAAGATCCAAGAACGTTTTTAAGGTTACAATTGAATGCCTTCTTGTTCGGCAAGAAGATTCCGGCCAAGCAGTACTGCAACAAAGATTTGTAAATCTTACCTGCAGACAAAAGGCCCGTCTCTGCCAGGGAGTTTAACAACCTGCGGGTGTTCACAACCTTCAAATTCACCTCATCAACCCTCACCTTCACTTCTTCCACCCGCCCTGTTGAAAATCACATGGTCGAAATCTTATTAGTTTCAAATCACAGATATTGCGCTTGTTACGTTGTTAATCGGATACTGACGCAACTGTTTTTCTATCTGTTGGTTTCGCGGTTAGGTAGTAGGGAGAACGTTAAAAGATGCTAAAATTGACAGACAATCACACAATACATTCTACTATAATGAAGAACAACAGAGAAAGAAAGCACATTTACTAACTTTTCAGGTGAGCCGCTTGCTGTGTAGTTATTAATCCGAAAACCTCTGGACCCCACCATAGGACCGAAATACACAGGAACACTAAAGCCTTGCTGCAAGTCCAGTTGTCCATACTTGATCTTGTTCAATGGAGAATAAAACAAAGAGTTGGAAGTTTAAAGAAATAATTGTAATTAATAAACATTTCCACGAGCCCGAGGTCGGAAAACTAACAAGTAGAATTGATCTGTATGTTACATTTAGTTAACATGTGGTTGGGGAATGTACCCAATATTCGCCTTCTTTAGTGCCTGTGTATACATGTACGTATATAGTAATCAAGTATACCTACAGCACACTGAAGTAGCCATTTGGCTACCAATTCTCTATTGGTTACGGGGTTATAGGCAACAGGGAGAAGGTTACAACTGGTCAAGACTGCTGTCAAAGTCAAAGCTTGCATGCATCCTGGTACATACTAATTACTGTCGTCCATATGGAATTTGCAGCTCAAAGTACTAAGTCTTACCTGCTGCTGCGCCTGTTCATTTCGCTATAAAATCTCACGTACTGGGTTAAAATACTCCAAATGAGCACGAATTCTGCCAGAAATGCATCGCATACTAGTATTACATGTAAATGACTCGCAAGTTTCAAGAAGGCATACTGCGTGTGTTTCTCCGAGTCGATTGAACGAAGAGTATACAAAGAGCGCTTGTTTCAGGAAAACACCTTCAAAATACCTGAGAACGTAGCAAATGTTCACCATTCAACCAATCACCACGTAACCAATTACATTACGTTAAAAGCAGGAGCTCTTTTTTAAAAGGCCCTCAAGGACATCCTAAATTGTGTTATTATCAGGCTGGGAAAAACATGATCAACACATGAGGCCTGCTGGGAAAAAGTTGATGAGCACTAATTAACGTTTGGAGTAATTAAGTTACATCCGTTGTTCTGAATTGTACTTGTCCTTATTTAATTTTTAGGGAATACAGTCGGGTGCGGCAAATGCACTCCCTTTATTGGTTGGGCTTTGATAGCGAACCAACTCCACTGACATGTTACTCAGTATTTGAATGGCCGATTTCCAACCACTTCCGAAGCATCGACATGAAAGTTATCATTCTCACTTGTGACATTTTTAAAGACCGCATTGACTTGATTTTATATCAACCTGGTCATCTAATGACTTCTATGACAAAGTGAGCGACTCTGTGTAAAAAGTATTTCGAACCCAAGTATGATCAAGTATGGTCAGTCTGACCAAGGAAGCTTGTATTTAACCCCCTTGGTCTGACCATACTTGATCATACTTGGGTCACACGATGCCAATATGCCATGCTGTACCCCTTTATCTCGCTAGATGTCCTTCCCGTACTGTCAGGAAGCTGACCTTTGCTCCCTTGTGAATCCTTAGGACATGTACTATATAATTTAAAAATCCGTCCGTCCGCGGTTACACCGGTTTTACCAGAATGTCGTACAGAAACCCTACCAGATTAAAGACCCGAAGAATCACATAAGCAGGTTTGTGGTGGATAAAACTATTTTACTGCTTATTTTGAGCATGCATTGAATTCATTTGCAGGTGTACCGGTAGTCTGGTGTATAACGTTACGTGTAGAACTCACTTCCGGGTTTTCTGGGTCTTTGCTGGACGACTCTCCGCGTTATTTGTTTCCCCTACTAGCCTCGTCCAGGTGGCAGAAACTGTTGGCAACAGTAAAAAATGACAAAACAGACAGATAACATGCCAGGGGAGTTCTTCCGCTAAAGGAGTGCTTGTTTTTTGGGAGGGCAAATAAATTATACTCCCCTGGCATGTCATCGGGTGCATTTTAGCCAATTTCTACTCTTTCCAGCCGCTTCTGAAGCATGTTGGAGGCCATACCCGAAAATCCTGTACCACAGAATATGTACAATAAAAGAACAATAAAGTTATCTTTTTGTCCAGGTGACGGTATGATGCTGCTACCCGTGAGGAAGCTAGTCAGGATGTGTACATTGCTGTTCCCTGGCTTTGCTGCCCTGATGCTGTTCTTGAACATCATGGACCAAGAAGGGAAGTGTACAACACAGCACCTGACATACATGGTGAGGAAAAAATCAGAGTTGATGTTGAGAGGGATTGGTGATTGCACTATGGAGTGACAGGATATGGTAGTATCTGTATTTTTCCAAAATACATGTATGTACATGTATGATGTGTTTGGTGAGTGTGTTTGTGTGTGTGTATGTTGGGTGTACATGTGTATGATGTATATGTGTGTGTGTGTGTTTGTGCGCGTGTGAGTGTGTGTGTATAGAACTTGGCATTTATTTTGTGTTAGAGTAGAAAGAAACTGAGTCGGTGAATAGGTTTAAACTAAAGTTCCTTCCATTTCTGGGCAGTGTGGCTTGCATGCTGAAGGGAAGGTGCAGGGACCGCTGTGCGATACCATGTGCTCCGAACGGCTCACCATCCACCGCTGTCTCAGCATGCGGCCCGAGAAACACGTCCTCCACGCGTCGTTGGAGCCAGAAGGACCATGGGATATGTTACATGAGCAGGCCGATGAGTTTGTCTTGAAGTTTTCCAGCAAAATCTGGTACCAGATGATCCAACAACACAAACCTTCAGACCCACAACTCAACTATTCTTACCTCATAGAGCAACAAGCGTACAAAATCTGCATGAACGAGTTCGAAAACAGCAAATCTTGTCACAGATTTGGGCAAAGGACGAGGTTATACGCTGACGGTGACGCTGATGGCAAGATTTCACAGAGTGAAGAATCCAACATGTTCAGTCTCCTGATGCAGCGAGAATTCTTTATGCTGCTGGCCCTGAATGACAGCAAGTCCACGTTAGATCTGTACGGTTACTGCGGCGGATTTTATGCAGTGCAAAAGGTGCAAAGCACCGCCTCCCAAGTCTTCGAAACTGATGATTACGTTTTGGATGTCTTACCAGATATCTTTCTGGATAATGTTAATGATATTTTGGTTCCCTTGGGTAAGATGCTGGGGCAGTATGGGGATGAGGCTGCGAAGTACCTACACCGTAACTTCGTACAAGTTCGATTCCCAGAGTGGAAAGAGAGGGTCGACTTTATCCAGCAGTGTTTTGGGATTCTGTATGACTTAAGTTCCCAGTTTGGGGTGACGGTGCGTTGCTGTGACAGTCACCTCGGCAACTACGGGATCACGGACTCCGGGCGGGTGGTCTACCTCGACATGGACAATGTCATGTCAACGAATGCGGTTTTGCTGTACCTCAGTCAACAGGAGTGTCAAACCGACGAAGACTGCACGGTTGGATCATATGACGACTGTTCCTCCAAGTGCAATAAAGACATAGGACAATGTCATAATGTCACGAAACAAAACGACCTCCACAACTTCTGTATATCCACCTTGTCACCAATGCTCGTGGCAAAGACAGTTGTTTTAGAAGTAGGCGTAGACAAGAAGCTAGTCAAAAAGTTGTCCAGCCTGGTTCGTGAGTGCGAAAAGCTGCCGTTGTTCACTACAGTCAAGGACTTCAGGGAAAAGGGGATACTGTACATATGGAACAAATTCAACAGAATTCTACGGGATGAAACAAGTGTGCAATAGGGCAGACTTCCAAGCATGAAAAATTGTAGACACAGGTGATGGTGAATAGAGGTGTGATCGGTCAAGGGGCCAAAATTAATGTGCAATACTTTTGTTTAAGGTTGTAATTTTGATGGAATAAAGTCATGTGACAAAAACAACTCATGCCTCTTAAGTTTCCTATTGTATGAAAGTGCTAATCTCCAAGCAGGTTTCTTCAGGGCAAAAATGACATAGTTGGCAAGCCCTTTACCAATCTATGGGGCCTAACTACAGTCCCTAATATAGTCCCTATGCTGCATTAGTAAAAGTTTGGTCTATTATGGCCACACATGCCTGGTAGCCATTTGCATTATAGCTGCTGAGTCTCTTTTATCTCCTACAGCAAGCAAAAGAGGCTTGACAGCTACAATATGGATGAAAACCAGGCCACGAACACACCCATACATGAATACTATTAAAGAAAAATCAGGCACCATTTGGTAAAAATGTCTAGTTCATCATGCTTTCATGGACTTTTATTCAATCTAAGTATTGAGATGGAACAACTTTATAAATAAGTTACTTTGAATCAAATTCAAACATCCAAGAGACTAAAGCTACACACAAATAACTTGACTGCAAAGTACAAAGTAATATGAGAAGATTTCTTCAAGCTGAGAAGACTGTAAATCACACGTCACATTAGCTTTAGACTAACATACTATCATCCTAGTTGTACACTACGATGTACAACTTCAAGTACTTGGATTAACCATACATTGTGAATCCTGACTATATACATTTTACACACAATACTGCAAGACAACATAAAGACACTTTACATTATAAAACTTGAAAATGCAGCAAAACTTTGTACTATTACAATATAAGGGTTTGGGTTATATTTTGTACAGATACTGACGTAGAGACGTACCCGTACATGTACATGGCAAGGAGCTATACCAGCAGAAGTTTATGCCCTGGTAATTCTGTCCTGCAAATTTGGAATGTTTTAGGTTAAGTAACAGCAACATATATTGTATTAGGTTTAACTTACAATATGTAGGAATGCACATTTCAGTCAATCTCATACAGATTTTTGGACCACCGTAACTGGAATGATAATATACAATTCCAAATCAGGATTAAGCCTAACTTTTAAGTTAAAAAACCTCAAGCAGATGGATGATTTGAACCTCAGATTTCTGACATTTTATGGTTTGATGTCTAGCAGCCAGCTCATCAATTTCTATCCTCCTAGTTCATACTACTGCCAAACAAACCTGTACTTTCTAGCTTGATCCTGGAAAAAGGAAAGCTACAATGTATATGAAATATAATATTATGATTCAAACCAGTCTAATGTATTGTTATGAACTGCTAAATTAAATCTAAACTAAAAGTGTGCTAATATGAAGCTGGTAGAACCATGTGCAGTATGGCTTGTATGTACATTTTATCTGATATGGTCTTCAGTTTTCATTTTTAAAACCCTTTTAGCATATCCTTGAAGCAACACAATTTACTAAATTCCTGGTCTCTGATATTTGGAATGCTTACAATAAGCTTCAGCTTAAAATATTCAATGTAATATGTATAAAAGTTCAAACATTCAGAGTATTTCAAGGATGACACTTAACTGATACAAATTCATAAATATTTAAAAATCTCTGCACAATTCTGAGTTTAGACAGTACTTGGGTACATGATGAAGTGAGAAGTTACTGACAGTTGATGCTTCTGGACTCAGTACTCAAGCTTATACAACACATCATCAGTTTGACAACTTAATGTTTAGCACACTGAAATAGCCAATTCTCTTTTGGTTACAGGGTTTGGAAGCAGGGAGAAGGCTAAGCCAAAGTTATCCTACAAAACATTGATTTCCACAAGTCTATTCTTCCTGTCAATTTTTAGATAATCCAGCTGCAACTCCTTTTAACTGTTTACAATTGACAGTTACAAAGTATTGAGTCAATGCAGCTACAATATGTAGGTAACATTTCCTAACATTCAGTTGCAATGACTCTAAATACAGCATTCAACTTCTAATACAGCCTTAATTAAAATAAGTCTTGACAACAAACTTGACAGCAACAAGTTTTAAGTTGATCTGTTGTAATGAGTCATAAAAAAGAGCCTGTTTGTCGACAACTCTGGTAGGAGTGGTCCATTAGAGAAGTTGTTCATATCAAGAGAAGCTACATGTACTACATGTATAATTACAGCTGCACTTCTTCAATATGATATAGAGCAGACTTTCCTGTAGATGTGTGTGCTTTATCTATGGGTAATATTACTGCAATTATGTGTAGGGTGGGTGGAGCCTTACGGCAGCTATGTGTAGGGTGGGTGGAGCCTTACTGCAGCTATGTGTAGGGTGGGTGGAGCCTTACTGCAGCTACAAATGTATGTGTATGGTGGGTGGAGCCTTACTGCAGCTACAAATGTATGTGTAGCGTGGGTGGAGCCTTACTGCAGCTATGTGTAGGGTGGGTGGAGCCTTACTGTAGCTATGTGTAGGGTGGGTGGAGCCTTACTACAGCTACATGTACATGTATGTGTAGGGTGGGTGGAGCCTTACTGCATCTATGTATAAGGAGGATGGGGTCTAACAGCTATGTATAAGGAGGATGGGGTCTAAGCTGATTTCTTGTTGCGGGATGCTGTCCTCTGCTGGTGGGAGACCAGGTCGGCTGACGTGCTCTTCCGAGAAGCTCCACCTGTGAGCAACAAGGAACAGTTTTTTTTAGACCATATCTATAAGCCATATTTACTGTCGTCTTTACAAACTAATTATAACTTGTAAACTTCTAACACAAGATCACACAATACTTAGCTTGATTCTGTTGTTGCTCTCAGTCTTATCTAAATAGAGTAGTTTTCCCTCCCCATGTGAATGGTTCAGACCTTACAGTACAAAACTGCTGTCAGTGTTATTCCTAAAGGCTGTTACTGGTTATGCAGCACACATAAAGAAACTGAGCTACACGTAGCAAGGAAAGAAAGGTAACTTTTATCCAGTAAAAGACTATGATTGACATTGGTTTATTGTGGACAAAGCTCTTACAAGAATAAACAAAACTTCTATGCTACAGAGTACATGTATAGGTGTAAGGACTACATGTATATGTGGTAAACACTACCTTATCACAGCGATAGGCCGAGGTGTCAGGAGAGACAGGAGGAAAACGCAGAGCTGCGCAGGAGGGAGGGAAGGAGACAGGAAGGAGAGAGACGAGAGATAAGATATGGGACAGTATTGTATAATAAAAGAGATACACCAGAAAGTGACCCAATGTTTCCTGAAGTATTTCCATTTTTCGACTAAGACTTTCTGTTGGTCGTTTCTATCTTTAGCCTGGGAGCCCCCCAGTTTGTATACTAGAGCTCCCATACTAATGGTCCCTAAAATGGCGAGTATGGGAGCCCCAGTAGGATGGCACCCAGGCTGTCTCTCTCTAGGCTGCGAGGACACTAATCCAAACTACCTACTAACAGTTAACTCACAGTTTACTACATTTAACCCGTAGTATGCTGAATCACCAGTTGAAAGTCATCATTTATTTATTTTACCAGAGGACTACTGCATTGTCATTGGGATGTAGAGCTAAAACTTCAAGGGAAATCATTGGGTCACTTTGAATTTGTGCCATAGATATCAAATCATCATGCTAGTTAGTTAGTGACAACCCACCATTAGTTAGTAATAACCTGTTCCATGGAAGTGCAGCAATGGGAACAGAACATGGTCAACACAAGGGGAATCGCACACAAACTGTTACAGACACATAACTAAAACATGTACACGTACAAATGTAGTTACAAACACATGTATAAGTAGACATATGTTTTGTATATACCAAACAGCTACCTCAGCATGCTAAAGGTTAAGACATTAGTAGTAAAGGGAACCTCAATACAAATGTGGTAAGGTACATTGTATTTGTGATTGTATTTTAACTGTGGAAGACAGTGCAGGTATTACACCACTTCCCGAATTTCTCCGCATACTGCCCATATCCTTCCATCCAGTCACCTTCAGGCATGACCTCCCTATCAATCAATTGTTGAAATCACTTCCCACCCACTATGCAACCGAAGTTATTGGGATACAATGTACAAGCAGAAACAGCCACCCAAAACAATACTTTCGTTCCCGGAAATAACAAAGTTGACAATACTGAACCCAGAGGCTACTGGTATAGCTAGCATAATAGGCCAGATCTAGACTTGTTGCCTTTAACCCCGAGACCTCCATGGTTCAAAAAGAGGTTGACCTTACTTTGTCTGCCGGATGTTGGCCTGGATAAAGGCGGAGATGATGACCTCTGCGGGCCGGGCGGTGGCGTGCTCAGCCGCCCCCCTCCCACCTCCGGAGTCCGCGGGATCTTCGGGCGACTGCCGAACGCCTGGGAGTAGTCATTTACACTGTCGAAGAGAGGCAGTAAATAATTGTTTGCTTTAACCTTAATTTGTTTATATAGAAGCTCGAATCAGCCTGCAGACAGCTTTTCATTGAGGTCAAAGATACAGTTTGCATCATTTAAAGTCATCATAAATCTATACACATATTTTTACACATACATGGTACATAATACATGCAAAAGAGTGAAAGCTGATATATGGTTCACATCCATTTCTTTTGTATTGAGACAAGGTTCATCAGTCCAATGGTCTCTGAGTCTATACAATGTACTAAGTCTTAAAGGCTCCCAGAAAGTAGGTCTTACAAAATATGGGTCTCAGTGTGGAGTGCACAAAATGATCTCCATCAAGAGTAGATGTTCTATTATTACTCACTTGCTACTTTTTGAGCTTGGCCTGAGGAACTGATCATCCACCACTGGTGCAAGGGGACGAGATGACTGCAAAACAGAAATGAACACAGCGGTCATTCAAACTCATCCCTCCTGCTTTTCTAGATTGAGCCCCAAGGCTGAAATACCCTAGACACACTGGATTAACAACCCACTGCCCCTACGGCCTCAAAAAAAGGTAAGGAACCTTTTACGCAACAATCACAACCTCAGAAGCATACAGATCTGTATGTGTATAGCCGGTATAACCGCCTTTTGGCGTAACACACCAGCTTCGCAGGCACGCGGCGCGGCGGCAGCTGGCTATATTACACCGATCAACTTGTTACACCTAGCCCTTGAACTTCTAGCTCTAGACATTGTTTAAAGCTATCTATTGACAATGCCCCTACTGTACTTGGTGACAGTGAGTTCCACTCTGCGATAGTTCTAGGAAAAAATGATGAGGAAACACCTAGTACATACCCCAGTGTGTGTTGCCAAGAAATCAGATGTCTGCCCATCCCCTGCTGCCATGGAAACACAGGTAAACAAAAATTTGTTTAGCCAATAATTATCAATGATGTTACACATAGAATTTAGTACTACAATGTACATATTATCAAGTACTGAAGAAGGTGACAGACAGTCACCAAAATGTCAGATCTGAAAACCCACTGGTTGAGGAATAAATAAAGTATTAAAATACAAAAGTACAAATGTATATAATATAAAGTCTCTAGCCAAGCTGACTAATTCTATTCAAGGATGACATTCCATCAATGTTGTGTTGGAAAAGATGTCAACCAAACATCCAACGAAAACCATGAAATATCTGGGTTTTGCAAAGGTGCAGTACGTTCTGCTCCTTACCTGCATTCCTGTTACCAGTCTGTGGCCGGCTGGGGCCGGTGTTAGGCCGGCTACGACTGCCTGCCTGGGTCGGAGGTCGAGAGTTGGAGGTGGCCGGCCGAGAGTAACCCTGCACCAAACATGGATCATGTGGAATATTTAATATATTTATAAATTATAAAAGCTTTTTTTTTAAGCCGTGTTCAAGCAAAAACAGGCCAGAGAAGAAACAACTTTATACATGTAGCTTTGAAGCCGTCATCCATTACAAATTGTACACCATTTTCAATATACTAGCACCTGAAAGTGAGCATATTTTTAATTGTGATAGAACAAGAGATCTGGATAAGTTACTTACATATGTGTACTACATGTATGTGACATATCAAAGCTAGAGTAGGTTTCACTCACCCCTACGGCACCGTTATTGTACTGTCCCTTAGTCGGGGACTGGTAGCCAGCTGCAGCTCGTGATCTGTAATCGGAAAAGAAAAAAAGTTATATGAAAGTTTTCTATCTCTTAAAAGTCACATACGTTTTCTTGTGGGAGTACTTTAGTTAAAAAGAAAGCATCTTTTACTGGTGTAGTTAGTTTGCAAGTAAAAAATCTCACCCCTGCTGTGATGGTATCAGCCCAGCTTTCCGTGATGTCGGTGTGATCGGTCGTGTCAACGGCTCGTTTAAAGCAGAAACGTTGTCTGTCCACCCCTAAACCATAAAGAAGATACATTCACATACATGTAATACTGTTACAATATGATTATAATGACTCAATGCATGTACTAGCATGTACTATCCATGACTTCAACAGCCATATATACACCACAAGACTGTTAAAAAAAAAGAAAAGTTGGTGCTGTGCCTGAATGTGAAATATTACATATCACACAAAACAGAGCTAGCAAAGTCAAATACTAGACAGAAGTATAAACAAATACAATGTTTCACCAACCTTCCTCCTTGGGCTCAAGGAATGGGTCATAATCTGTGAAAACATAACAGGCTTAAGGTGAGGTTAGGTGCACATGGAAAAGTGCATAGGTTATAAATGAAAGTAAGATGCAGTACACTTATATAATATTGTGTTTCTTGAAGAACAAAAAGCAACTGGATAGATTTTGGTCAGTTTCCAAAATCTATCCAGTTGCTTTTGCAACAATTTCCTTGAATACAAAAAAAAGAGTGTTATAGTGCGCAAAAAAATAGTATATACTAGGAAAGAATGACAGCCATTTTCATACACCACACCAGGCATGGTCCCTGAGCAGAGTGTACATCTATATTGAGGAGGAACGTACCCCCAGGTACTCAGAACTCAGTAGTTTCTCTCCCACCAGTTCTCCTGGTGCTGGTTTCAACACCTCCGCCTTATCCAGGTCTGCCTCCATGGCATCTTGGTCCTACAATAAATAAACAAGATATTAAAGATTACCTCCATGATATATATTTTTTAGTGAATTTCTAGTTTTATTCAATTATTATTTACGAAGTTACCTTGATGCCATCTTCAGTCGAGAAAGGCAGCGCATGTTGTGGACTGATCTAACGGCTTTTGCCGTGCTCATACATTAGCTCCTTCCAGTGAAGATCAAGACAAGATTTGAACATGTTAACCGTTTTGCTGGAGACTATACTCTCCTGTAGAGAGTTTCGGGTGTTCACTATCCTTGTACTACTAAACACCTGTGTTCTGGCATTTTAAGCTTAAGGCTATGTCCTCTTCGATCCTGTACATCTTAGTATGATACCGGACTTGTCTCAATGTTGCTGTTCATAGAACTTTAGTACTATAACCTGTAATTAGCTTGTCAACAGAACACACTGCGCCTGCGGATATTTTTGTTGGATGTTTGGTCAACGTTGCATCAGAATTTTGCCTCTTGCAGATGATATTTAATCTGACACAACATTTCAAAAGTACAAGTAAAGACCGATTCAAACTAAATCTCTAAAATCACCTCATCATCATCATCGTCCTCCTCCTCTTCATCATCCGAGTCAGCATCACTCGGCGGCTCGTTAGAGTTCAGCTGTTTGATGATGAACTCAAACTGTCGGTTCATGTCGTTGTTTCCCTCCTTAATGTACATCTTCAGGATGTCTTCCAGGCCCTGATGACAACAATAGACAACAGTCATACATGTAATGTAGCCTGGGTGCCATCTTCCGTGGTTTCCACCATGGTAGCCAGCAACATTAGGGAGCCGGCGGAAACTACGGAGGATGGCTCCCAGGCTACTTGTAATGTACCACGAATACAGTTTTGTGAATAAAGTTGTGGCATAGTGAGATTGTGAGTGTGCTGTTTGTGTATTGCTCATTCCTATCCCCCTCCCGTTTGGGACACCAATAGTGCTATTCCGGACTATTGTATAGGCCAGGGAACTGCATAAAAAAAGGGGGACACATGGGCTATACAGATATGTGGAATCTACTGTAAAAACAACTCCAGTTTGAATGTTTCCCAATTAAACTGTAATTTATGGGACACTTGCCATTGACCTTTTCATTGAAACTAGGTTAGAAATTCCTAAACTTGGCTGGACACATTAACCTTACACCAGATAGATTGCTCTAAAAAAATCAAGACAGTATAAGGGTCATATCTATCACAAAACCATCCTTACCATTGCCTTGGCCTCCTCTTTGATGGTGGGAATAGCCAGGATACTGTACAGGGCACCATTCACATATGGCCGGATCTGAGGGGGAAAATATTGTGATATTTTATATCTATACTGAATTTTTTTGTTGGATATATCATCTTATAAATAAAGCACAGTCTGTAATGCTTGCCATGGATGACTTCATGGTACATGTAGCTTTTCAGATCATACTAGTACCATTCAAGGGGAACTCTTGGTGTTGGTGATATATTTTTTAAAACAAACTCTTTAGTTTAGAACTTAGAGCAAACAAGACTACCAGAAGATATCACTGTGAAACTGGAACAGAATCCAATATAAAACTGGTTCAATAATATATTTACATAATCATGTCCATCCCGGAGGTAGTCACATGCCTGGAAAGTGTAAATAACAACATACTACTGGTCTATCCATTGAATAATACAGGTGACCATGGTTAAAAAAGAGACCGCTTTCTCCCTTCAAATTTACCTCTCAAATGCAGGAAGTCACGCTTTAAAACTCAAGGGTTAGAAAAATTTCTATACCCCAATATTGTGATCACCCACCCCCATAGAAATCATTGAAAATGCACTCAGCAGTCCGGGCTTTTCCAACCTTAACAACACTGGGAGTATATAAAGATTTACACTGGATGTGTGTGGTAAAATAACAGTTCTTCCCACCTCCTGGTTGTCAATTCCCAGTAGGTCTGTCAGCACCTTCAGAACCTTGTGGGCCTCCATTGCACACTTGTGTTTACCTGGAAGAAAACATAACACAATCAAGTTCTACCTCTAACACATAATCTATGGCTAAAACCATAGGTCCTTGGTTCAAATCCTCCAACATGCCCCGATGTTGTGCCCTGGAAAAGGCACTTTACACAACCTTCTTTACACACTCCTTTCTGCCACTTGCTGCATAACGTAATCCAACACCACAGGGTTGCGACAGCACCAGTAACCATGGTGACAGCCTTTTGGTCCAGGCCAATGACCTTATTTCTTTGGAAGGGAAGAAGAGGAAGAAGAAGAAACTGAGCAAAAAATTTGTTGTAAATATAATAGTTACCTGCAGTCCTGAGACACAAGTTCATGAGCAATGCCACGGAATACTCCAGGGTGTAATCTGATAGTGCATCGCTGTCTTCTAGAATGTCAACTAGCCAGGAGATGATGCCATTGTCAATCATCAGACTCTGTAGATGTCGTCTGTAAAAACACACAGGAGAGAGAAAATTTACAATTCAAAACTCCAATATTTGGAGAATGCTGATGATGTAAAGAGTTAATCATGGCAACAATGTTAACACATGTTGCAAATAACATCAACTTTTAAATTATCATTGACAGCATTTATAACAAATCAAATCAAGCTATTGCAGTGGATCTTAATTTTATTTCAAACCACCCAGTCTACCTGGGACCTATAACACAATTTACTGAAATTTATAAAATAGAGGTTCATGAACGAAAATTCATGTATTTGTATTTAACCTTAAGCATGCTAAGGTAGCTGTTGGGTCCCAAATTTGTACTGGTTATGAGGATAGGCAGCAGGGAAAAGGTTAATAACTCAAAGGAAAATGCAAACTTTGGCCTTGTACATGACACAAATATTACATGTATTTCCTGTCTATTGTAAGTTTTGCCTACCTTAGGCTGAGTTTCTGCAGGGCTCCGAGTACATTTTCCCGTGTGATGGAGTCCTTGTCCTCAGCTTTCAGCGTATCCTCCAACACCTGCAACACTTCCGTACACTGTGCCAGGTACGTCCGACCGTCAGCGAGCGACGCAAATGTGTTGAACAGTCGTGCTGTGTACTGTCTCACCACCTCACTGGGCGAACTCAGCATGTCCAACACTGCTTGCTGAAAGAGTTTGCAATGGGTAAATATAACTTAGTTCTGGGGAAATAGGAGTTTTTGAACACCTTAATTCTTGGTTGATAACTCTGATATTTGAAGGCATGACTGTTTCTTGTTCTTTTTTGGGCTGGTATCAGATACTTATAGTTGATACGTCCACCAGTTTATACCGGTACACATCACCTCACCCTGTGCGGTCCTTCCACCGTGCACCCCAGCAGGTCGTTGTTGATGTACGCTGCCAGGACCGTGTTCCGCTGTTCCCCGGCAACCGAACGCGTCAGTCTCTGCAAGTACAGGGAAGACATGTTGATGGAGTTTGAAACATCCAGGTAATGAGGTACAAAAGGAAATTATTACTCAAGCAACAAAAGTGGAAAAGTGTTGAAAACTGCCAGATGTTTCAAGTACCGTCCACTACTTGAACAAGTGCATGACTGTGTATTATACATGTTGTAGTAGTACTGAACATATATTGCTCGCAGCAGTTGATTTTGACTTTTTTTGTCCCATAGATAATTATTATTTATCTGTTGTTATTTTGTTGTTGTTGTTTAGACCGACCCATCTGAGTGCCTGCAGCAGCAGTGCCCTAATTCGCTCCGGCCCGTGTGTCATGTCTCGCTTTACGCTGTCGTAGTCCAGCGACGGCAGCAGCCCCGGTTCATCCGCAGGCTTCGTTTGACTGTGGGGCATTATAGGACATAATCAGGACAGGAATATATTTTTAGTAACATAATAGTACAAGTTATGTATCAAACTAAATCTTCTTTCCTTTTTCTGACTGTACTATACAAGTCTGATGATACCTCAAACATAAAACTGCTGCAAATACTGGTATTTCACAATCACTTTTGCCCAAAAATCACTTCATTTCTGTCACAAGCAAGAAGAACACGATAATGACTTCAAATCTTACTTTTGTGGAGCTATGGAGTCCCTTAGTGCTGCTCCAGCCTGGAAAACAAAAACATTAACAACTTCATAAGGATTAAAATGCCTGTGATACAGTTACAACATTAAAATAATATTAATAATACATGTACATGCACATTATTATGACAAGTATATCACAGTGACTGCCTTCAAATTCTTTGTTGTCATTATCAGACATTTAAAAAAAACTAAACTTTGGTCACTTTTAGTCTACATAATATTGTATCAAGTGCCCAAATGACCTCCCACATTCTGGAATAGCACAGTCATTTTCACATTTTACGTCAACCCAATTGAGTTTGTTCTGTCAAACAAAAATGAAGAAAGAGGAAAATTTCAAGCTAGAAAAAAACCTGCTTCCACACCTTATATCACTTCCATAACAATATTTCTCATGCAAATAACCATCGTGCATGCATGATTAACCACCATCACCATAGTAACAAAGTAATAGCAGTTTGGTTGCCATAGTTACCTGGTAATAATCAGGCTAGAGAGCCGCAACACAATGGAGTGAATGAGGAAAAGAGAGGAGCAGAGGAGGAAAAAGGGTGCAAAACACAACAACCTTCAGTGTAAATTCTGTAAAAAAGGAAACTCAGCGGAAAAACCATTAGACCACAGCAATTAAGTTTCTTATTCCTTAAACCTGAGAAATAAAAGTAGGAAAACTTGAAGATGTGCATCCAGTTCCCCTCCAATGCTGCCCAAAAACTAAAGAATTTGATTATGTCCCCCATTTAAAAGAAAAGAAGCTTGGCATTGAAAGAGTCTCTAAATCATGAAAATCTAGAATATCTTGACAAAAAGATCTGTCATTCAATGTCATATTCCCTATCATTATTGTATGACTGTAACTTCATATCAATCCACTCCCAATAATTACATCTTTGTGACATCTTAGAAGATTTTTCTGACATGCATACCAAGTCTACAATCTCACAAAATGACAGAATCATATTGTATACACAATATACAGTTGGTATAAAAAAACCTTGAAGTACCAAACTGACCATTAATTACCAGCATATCTATGAAAACAACAAACCAAAATTAACCTTGAAATTGTTGTTGAAACAACAATTCCTTTAATTATCGTGTTGTTCACAACTTAATGGTGTGAGTGTATGAACGACACTTACCGTTCCAGGTCTGGTGAAATCCATGGTCTGTCTCATCTGGTTACTGAAGAGTCGATTACAAACACCTTGTAGATACTCTGGTGTCACCTGTTTATTACAAAAGGAAAAGTGATCAGTCTAAACCCATTTGTTGCCAAAATGTATTATGATTCTTGCTTTCTTGGGTTGATTTGCAGAGACATTAGGAAAAGGTGTACAGAAGTTGAAGGAGAACTCACCATGTCACCATGCACACAGTTTTCCAGAGAGTCGACGAGTTCTGCTGTGATTCCAATCAGGTTGTGATAGTCACCCTGGGGAAGGTCAAAGTTTGCATAGATAATGAGGCACAAAGTCTGCTGGAACTAGTGGTCATTCCTGTAACCTGTAATGTATTGTGCACAGCATTTTGGCAGGACATCTCATATAAGGTTGCATTTAGGATGACACTCCGTCTATAGGTTTCTAATGTTTTGTTGGAAAAGATATGGTCAGCAGCAGGCAAAATTATATGATGCAACGTTGACCAAACATAAAAAAAAACAGTAAAAATTCAAGTTTTCTAGAGTTTGACTGTAACTCACCTGCATCTTGTTGTATCTCTTCATGTATGTCATGGTTCTCTTCTCAGCATCTACAACCTGCTGCTGCATGTGCTGCATCTGTCCCAACATCTCTGGACAAGGGAGGCACAAACAAACAAACACATTCAAACCAAATGACAAGTCTAGTCATTCCCATTATCATTTAAACGGGTTTAAATCACCAAAAACTTGCTTCATGTCAAATGAGTACCACAAGTTGGTCATGCTTGCAAATGGTATCTCTTGTATAATACCTTTACAGATATTGCAAATCTAGAAATGTTCTTCCAACCACCAGCTAACCATGGCCAAATCTCTCATCAACAACCGAATGTTTAAAACATTTTGAAACTTTGGCTGGTGCAGCCGAACAGTAGCTGACCTGGCCAAACACCAGCTGACCTTGCTCAGTCCCAAACTACTTTTAACCATGGTGGGGGGAGTTCAACAGTTTTTGTGGGGAAATATTCAGCCATGCGTGACAGAGGATTTACTGACCCTTACTGACGGAGCCTCCATCCCTGTACATGTCAAACAGTCTTGGCTGGGACGCTGACTTCAGGGTCAAGGTAAGAAACTTCTCCAGACGCATCTTCAAGTCAGGGACCCAAGATTCCTGCAAGGAGAGGAAAGAACTTTTAAGAACAAAACATCTGTGGTAGTTTTTGGTTTGCAAAGTTTGCCATTCCTCTAATTCACTCTATCAAAACTGTTACAAAGTACATGACAAAGCTACTGAGTACTAATGCCAGAGGGTTTTTCTATAGAGAGACTGCCATTCTTTTTTCACAGAAAGCCGCAATACTGAATGCCTTAAATTTTGAAATTACTAGTATCATAATGCAACTTGATGAAAATTTAGTAATACATTAAACCAGTTGCTGGTATAGCTCCAAATTTCTAGTGCTCTTCCAGGTTTATAGTGATTACATCTTTGAGAAAAACATTCTAATGCCTACAATGTACATCTTTCTTTATCCAAAATGGTGAAATCTTACACAACGCCACACTTACAGAGAATAGCTCCTTGAAGGAGGGATGAGCGCGTGGGTTGGGGACGAAGGGAAGTGCGTAGAACGGGAGGAACTCCGTGGTCTGGCTAAGAGAAGCGCCGCCCGTCTCGAGGTAGTCTTTAAACGCTGACATGGCTTCATCCATCTTGGCTTTGCTCTGCAGAGGAGAAATGTGATAAGATAATTTTCAAATCCACCTTCAGATTTAATTAGAAATGTCTAGCTAAAATATTTGGTTTCCTAACCCTTACCATCAATTCATGTCATATACCCTGTGCGTGTAGATGTGTACTAGTATTTGCCAGCAAACTTTCAATCTTTACAGCATCAAAACCTCAAAGTGTGTCATCAAAGCTGAATAATATGATATTAGTGAGTAAAATCTATAATTAAGCTCATCTTTTAAATCATGAGCTAAATTAAAAATCTATGTATCTGACATGTCATATAAGTCCATAGGACATACTAACAATATCCTTACAACTTTTCAGGAATATTTCTTGTGTTAAGTTTTTGCCAGTACTGTAGTTAACAATACTCACATTTTTGCTTTGTCCGTACTTGATAGGGTAGATGGCAAAGTAGATATGTAGGTAAAACTCCAGCTTCTGACTAACAGAGTCGTCCTTCCTGATGTAAGACGGGATGTGCTGATCCCACAGCACGAAGAAATCACGCCGCTCACCGTGGTCAAACAGGGTCACAAACTCTCGCTATTAATGAATAGGAGTAAATGTATCAACAGTAATGTAATATACATGACACTGCTAGGCTTAACTTCGCAAACATGTATATAGATCTGAATTTTTAAATTTATACAACTCATCAGGAATCACTGGAATAGAAAAAGTCAAGTATATCCTGATGTTATTTCCTTCAATCAAAGTCAAGTGTGTTTATCAGGCTAGTTTATGAGTGTGACTTGTTGCTTGCAATTTGGGCCCACAAATGATTATACTATACATGTAGTAACTGTCAGCAATTAAATCATGGCCTTCCAACACCATTTAAGTAACGGTGCTTACATGGTGTAGCCAATTGGATATACATTGTATAATATAGAATAATCTAATACAGTTAAAAGCTCTTAGTTACATTAGACTGCAACTTAGTTACAGTCAGATGATACATTACATTGTGTATACTACTAGTGTAATTTTTGGCACCAATTTATACACTATACTAAGCAATTCACTGACAAAATTATCCCTGAAATACATCCTTTAAAGATCTCACCTGTAAACCCAGTTTCTTCTCGTTGTTCTTGACACGCCCGCCTGAGATGGGGTTGGGTTTGCCCTTTCTGGAGCACTCCTGCTCAAACGTGGTGGATGTGTCCTCATAACTACAGAAGTCCAGATACTGCAGAGAAGGATGCAACAGATTTAAATGCACATCAATGACATCAGGTAAAAATCTACATTCAAACTTTGTATATCAATAATTACAAAATGTAACTACAGGACTAGAGACTGTGACTAAAAAAACGCTATGTGACCTTACTTGAAATGATGGTACACAATGTATTTTGTTTCTCATCTCATAGAGTTATTAATTTTCTAATTTTTTTCCTAAAATTCCTAATTTCAAAAACATTATGTTTAGTCTTTTTCACTCACAGACTCACTATCCAGGATAATAGAAATTACCATTGGATAAGAGAATAATTGATTCAAATTCAGACACGTTGGTCAATATATACTCTGTAGTCTTCTTGTCCATCATGTTAATATATATGTATATATATATATTTAATAATTACAGTTTGCAAAGATGAGTAAAGGTTCAGTTATTTATTGGCCTAGAAAGATGCAACCTGCAGTCTAAGCTTTCTCCTTGTCTAGACATAATAATCCTTGGGGCCTTTTGTGTAGAAGTGGTCAATAGATATAAATACTGGCATAAACCTATAATTACTTTCACTCTACCATAAATAATGCAAAAAAGACAGTGTGCACTATTCCAGCCAGGGATGTGAGTTCAGGGAATGGTTTTATAATTTCAAAAGGTCTATGTGAGACAGTTATAACTGTACTGTATGTACACAAAGGAAGAATTTTTGTCGTTACTATTGCATGAGAGACTAGTTCAAAAGCTAGTTACAGTAATCCATGGTGTGTAGAGTATGAATCCATTGCACAATTCCCTTACATAATACACACTTGACTGGACCCTTTCATGTCACATTTCTAAGGACGTCAAAATACATGTGTGATGTTACCATGGCAGCATAAGAATACAGTACAGCGAATACAGCTATTAATACCCAATTCATATACATGGAAATAACTCTTGGTATTTTTGCATGTCTCTTTAAAATATGAAGTGACAAATGCTTTCCTATAATATTCAAGTTTACCTCTTTGACAATGTTGTTCAGTTCAGCCTCAAAAGCCACCAGATCCCCCATGGTCCCAGCACAGAGTTACAAAATAACACACAGCATGGAACTGTCAGAACCCCATCATATATATTTCTGGTCCTGTTCACCTGTGAACACAAGTTGGACAGGAACTTCAGACAACTGTGGTAGCTGATTCATAAAATCAATGTCAGTGTTGGAGACCAATCAAACTGAACTACAAAATTATTATACATGTAGTATACACAATGTAGGTAAAAACACGTGTGTATATCTACTTCTACTCCATATCACATTGTTTCTTATCTACTTTTCTGGTATTGCCTTTGATGGAGTTACATTTTACAAGAACACGTTACCTTTCAGAACAATATGTGTTGGGCCATAAGTTCATGGTTTGAACTGTGCATATTCAAAGTCACAGGTGAAGGCCTCTATCATTCTTGTAAACTGTTTTTGTCTAGACCATATTTGATAATGTGGTCAGAGTCTGTTAGACATGTTTTGGTTATGTCTCAAGGGTCTTCATCGTGTACATATATCATTCACAATGTATCACGCTGTTACATGCGCAGTAACATGTTTAAACAATGAATAGTGAATTCTGCAGTGCTCTTATCCCCACCACTGTTAGTTTTACTCTCAAGCTTTGTTCATTCACTTTCTGTGCCACCTGGACAAACAAACAACAACCTGTGTAAAGGTGTGTACTGTACTTTCGTACTGGGCAAAATGTTAATTTTTGTTATTTTGTAATATGTATAAATCTAGATTTATACAGACATGATAAGGGGAAATTCACTCGACCACATACTGGTATTTTGTTGGCAAATTATGTTGCTAAAATTATTTTGAGAAGAAAAATATCTTGTCCATGTCATGATCATTTTTGTTTATTTCTACATTACACTATTACTGCAATTAATCTTGATTGATCCTCATTAAGACACAAGTTTACCTTAAAGCAATACAGCAAATTCAAGTTCAAAGAGAAACCCAACAAGACATCATAGTCATACCAAAATCAACTCATCCAAGAAGCCCCCCCCCTGCCTTGTCTACAGTAAGCGTCCCAAGATACTAGCACTTCCTCAGATCTGATCGTCCACAAAAACAAAACATTCGCCATTTCCCTTTCGATTCAACCTTCAAGAATCATACACAACCTTCTAAATGGTTTGTACTAGAAGTAAAACTCACCTAGCGGTCCTGGTCGTGCCTTTGAGCGATAAAATGTCCTTAGAAACAGAACAGTCTACCTCAACATCGCCTTCCAAGGAAAGGTATTACACCATGTCTGTTATGTCGGCCGTGATTGGCTAGTGTAGAATCAGCAACCAATAAGCGTTAGCGTTAGTGAATACCTTAGGCCTACACAAATAGATTATACCACTTCAAATTCTTAGGGATAACAAGTTTTCGGGGAATCAAGTAAAATAGGTACTACTGGAAAAGATGACCTACAAAAATTAAATCTAGTATATACAAAATTCTTAAGAAGGTTTATGGACTAATATTTATAAAATAACAATTTAAAAAGATACAATTACTATTCTAATATTTATTTTTACCCAAGAAATTGGAAGAGTGGACTATTCCACCGGGTCTTTCAAACATGGCGGACGTAAAACCATCCAACTCCAGTAACCCCATTGTTTTCTTCGATATATCTGTCGGTGGACAGGTGAGTTTGGTCATTGGGGATTAGAAGTCTTAAGCATTGTCGTAGATTATAATACGGTTTAAGATTTTGTGAATTGTGTGTTAAATAGGCCGGGGAATTGTAATAGTAGGGGGAGGGGGGCATGTACACATGTGCTTTTCATGTGGCCTTGCTGTCATATGTTTATGATTTGATTTGATAATTTTGTATCCTGTGCTTGTCATGATAGATATGAAAGGCAGTTGTAATCACGAATTTAAAAAAATTAACTCAGTATCAAAGAAAAAACTAAAAATGCAAATCAGGACAACCCTTTGCTGGTATTTCATCAACTTCTAATATAAGAGTGTTTTGTAATCATCTTTTGTTTTGTATCAGGAAATCGGAAGGATAAAAATGGAGCTGTTTGCAGACATCGTTCCAAAGACTGCCGAGAATTTCAGGTAAGTTACTAGGTGGTCTCTATTTTCTCAGAATTTGTGTACATGTATTTTTAAAATATCTCAAAATGCAATCAGATTAAGGAGGTTATAGAGAAGTCCCACCTTACTTTTAACCACTTTTTCTACAGAGTACTTTGCACAGGAGAACACAGAAAGGACGGTGTGCCCATTGGGTTCAAGGGGTCATCATTCCACAGGTCAGTTTATATGTGTAGCTACAATACTTACCAGTGCAGTGTGGGTGGTCTGCTTCGAACACTTTTTATGAAATTGTTTATACTATGACTAGTATATTTCAATGATTCCTTGGGCGGAATGGAACTTTCTCTCAACGACTGGTTGTAGGATGGCCAGCTATTAAAATGGAGTGTTAAAAATTCTTTAAAATGCGGTATCAAAATTCCCCCCTCCCCCAGAGCCTGCACAGGAGGCTAAGATTGTGTATGTTTCTTTTCAGAGTGATCAAAGACTTCATGATTCAAGGAGGAGATTTTGTCAACGTAAGTAAACCAGTGGAACTCACTCAGCATTCTTCCCTTTTTTTTAACCCAAAAGATGGTGAAAATTGTGTATAGTACAACTTAGTGTTATATCATTTCAGCTGCATATTTTGGAATTTATGTATGTCTACTTGTATATTACAAGACCCCCAACCCTTCCCTCTCCTCAGCATGATGGCACAGGACTGACCAGTATCTACGGCGGAGCTTTCCCTGATGAGAACTTCAAACTGAAACACACAGGGCCAGGCATGCTGTCCATGGTACGAACAGCAAGAACGCTAAAGCACGGATGAATTTTGTTGGTTGATAATTGAGTGTTGAGTCTGTCCAGCATGTTACCAGGGACCATTGTCAGCCAGAACAGTGAATAATGTTGATTGATCTGTTGATGAAGGTTAGACATCCAGGTAAACAATATTCAAAGACAACTCAAGCTCTACCAATGGACAAATCATGGAGGTTACTTCTGGACGTTTAGAGTGACATCCACCACACTTTTTAATCATCACTAAGATGAACTTACAGAACTAGTCAGTACTTATTACATATGAAAGAACTGGAAAAAACAGTTGAACATGACAAAGACTCCTGAGTGTCACTGTTACATAGTTGAGGTCAAGGTAGTTCCTATACATTTGAGAGTTCTACTCAGAGTCCTTCCTTCCAGTTCAAGATGAGATTCATTGTACATGAATATCCACTCATAGATGGCCAACTCAATGTCTCTTATTAGTAGCTTTTCTGACTTACAAGGATGCTGGTGTTTTTTCCCTGCAGGCCAACAGTGGTCCCAACACTAACGGCTGCCAGTTCTTCATCACCTGTGCCAAGTGTGACTTCCTGGATGGCAAACACGTTGTGTTCGGTACGTGGTGCCTGCAAATATTTTTTTCACTTCGTAGGCGACAGTTTCATGTAAATGTGCGCTGTTGGAAAGGTGCTGCTACTGCAAGCATATTAATTTTTAGTACTGATGAACATGTAGATCAGTTTGTGGTCAGTAGGGGGTGCTTTTGATACATATGTGTGTGTCAGAACTGTCAAAGATCTGTGTAAAGTTTAGTACACTAAGTAAGCAACACTACTATGAAAAAGTTATGGACAGAAAAAAGAGTTAATTTTCTGTCCTTTCTTTTGTAGGTAAGGTGGTGGATGGAATGTTGGTGGTCCGGAAGGTGGAGGTAAGTGATGCCTGATTGGTCAGTTAATAATTTCTAGTTTGAGCCTCTCACAAATAAACAAAAGATCAAGCATCATATCAAACCTGATCAACTGCTGAAGGAAATGACGTCACATTGTCTGACACATTTTCTTCATGTTTCAGAATGTGCCGACTGGACCTAACAACAAACCCAAGATCCCTGTTACTGTGGCACAGTGTGGGGAGATGTGACCACTGTATGGCTGTTAGAGTGAGATCAAGAAATGTAGAATAACGTTATACATTACTAGTATATGGTAGTAATGGTATTGGTATCTATGTTAAGTATAAAATACAGTATGTCTTTATGGGGACATTTTTAAGATATAGGAGTCAGTGTTTTTTTTTTGTAAATCGAGGTAACAAATGAGAACAAGGTCCACCTTCCAAATGTATAATTGCGATGAACAAGAAGAAAGACAAAACTGTAAGATTTGATAAGGAACAGGGAAGCCATTGTAAAGCTTTTCTGTAGTCATCTAAGGATAATGCTAACCATTCCAGTAATATGTAAATGTGCAGGTACATTGTACATGTAGCTTCTAGACACTAACTAAGGATTATAGAATTTATTATCTTCCTCCTGCGAAGATTGCCACAAGGGACATAGACATTGGCTGAAACACCTTCAGGTGGTGAATAAAACAACCCATTTTTACAAACATCGTTGCTCCAGTGATTTGTACAGTAGTGCAGTAGTGCTAGTGGCTGTAGAAGTACCAAACTAAGGTAAAGAAGCATCTTAACAACACTCCTATCACATCAGGGTTGAACTGCAGCCAATCAAATCTTTGTAGGAATCAATATTTATCCCATCATTTCCATATTTTCCGTGTCATTAAGTGGATGAATGTTAATCTTCGAGAGAATACTTGATGGACTTGTACGTAAGAGAATGATAATACTGGAGGCTCCAAACTGGTTTGAAAGTTATGTTTTCTATTGCTGGAATTTGTGCAGGCATGTACACTGTTCTTGGTCTGTTGCACAGCATACTTGCAAGACTAAGGCATTAACTGTGGTGTTTGAAACCTGTTTTCACAGTGAGAGCACTCTGGTGTGGTCCCTTCATTGCCTGTGGGATTTTCATGCAGAAAAAAATTGAAGCTTTTTTTTTTTTACTGTTTTAGACACAGACAATCTACTCCAATACAACATTTGATTTTTAGACAAACATGGCTCTGGTGGTTAGACAAAGGTTTACTGAAATATATTTGTATAACAAACTGGAGTTTATAAACTGGGGCCATTTCTAAGCACATTTTCTTCCATTCAGCTGCACTACAGCAAAAAAAAATCTTTTTGAAATATTGCAGCAGAATTCAATTACAAAATTTGTCCATACGTTTTTCTGTGTGTTCTCTGTCATTCTGTGATTCTAATCTAACTTACACATACGTGTATTACACGTGCATTTACATATGCCTATTACTGGATACATACACATTATACGTACACATTACGGATTGGCCTGTTCAGCCACCAGAGATGGTGCCAGACCCCTCCAGTGCCAAGCCCATCGTCTACTCAGACGGAAGGAGGCCGATGACACATTATGCACATCTGCCAATCCTTCGGATGACCAACCTTGTCTGGGGAGGACACTCTTTCTCAAAGGACATCTTTGCTCAGTCCCTTAAATGTGTCTACTGACAGTTTTGACTGTATTTATCCATTTAAATGGCAGATCATGTTGACTCAAAGGCATTGCTGTGAAGTGTCACTTTAACATCACCGATAAAACAGTTACGTGTGATATAAAATGACAGTCCATATCTTCTAGTGGTTTATTACACGACACATCTTGCGTGCACTGATACAACTTGTGACATGCTCAACAAACTTCTGAGATGACAGGTAGCACGTCCTGATCACATCTAGATACTGAGATGTTATCCTAATAATTTCGCAGCAAGTTTCGTTTACTGAATACCAAGCTTTAGAGAGTGAAGAGTTTATGGTGACAATCTTCTCTTGTCAGACCAAACCCAAGCCACAAACTTTTATCTGATGTCCCATCCCTTTTGTGTACTTCCAGCTGTGGGTACAGATAACCATAGTAACATCACAGGGCTCAAAATCCTTTTTTCTGCATTCCTGCACTGGTGCAGGCAACTGTAAAAATTTCTTACACCAGACAAGTTCTACCTGCGCTATAGTTTCTTTGCCTTTCAGTTCACCAAAGAATTCATGTGTAAGAAAATTTGCTAGCACTATTCTTTTTAATCCTACCAAGTTCACTGTTGTCTTCAATAATGCTACTTTCAAGAATCATTCAATGCAAGTCAGCTTTGGACTGCAACTGTGTCTGGGTTTCGTTATGGTCCAACACAGGTTAGGTGTATGTAGACATCAGAAATACCTAGCCATCCTCTGTAGTTCCTGCCAGCTCCCTAATGTCGCTGGCTACCACAGAAATACCTGCACAGCTCTAGCTTCCATAGCAGGCTTAGAGAACTGGGGGTTTGGTGGTCTCCGGCTGTTTTCTGTAGCCTGGGTGCCATCCGAATTTGTAACGGCTACCCCGATTTTTCGGGCTAGTTTTCTGATTAGCCCAGTTTGAAAAAATGGGTAATTCAACCAGGCCGGCTATGTTGTCTTGTCTACATGCAATCAGAAAATAGCACATAAAAGCTCCTGAAGACCCCCAAAACCCCCACTTTTTGGCATGCTATGGAGGCTACACAGCTCCAACTTCACTTGCATATGCAGGTTGTATTTTGAGCCCTGTTTTGCCTTTTTAACACCGTCTGCACCCAGAGATAGGACAGGTTACGACACCACAGGCTGCAACCTGCCAGTCAGGATTTTCCCTGTCAACTTTATCTGATCCGCTCGGCTCCGTGTAGTGCCCAACTTGCCAATGTAGCGCCCGACCAGATATTGGCAACCTGGCCACGGATAATGAAGAGTTAACAACCTGCCCCAAGGTGTATCACTCACTCAGTGGTTTTACTGGTATTCAGTGGTTACAGGTGTCGACCAGGCCTTTGATATGACACCATACATGTATAAAATCAGGAAAAGGCAGTACATACTTGTACACTTGTAGATATTATATGTATCACAAAAGTTTCTTCTGTGGTGTTTTCAGTTGTTGTATGAACCTACTAGGCCTTATAAACTCGAGAAAAAGCAGTACATTGATGTTATTATCATATACATGTATCCTACTCGAACGTAGCAAATATTCCTCCTGTGGTTTTTTTATTGGTTGTAGGAACCGACCAGGCCTTATGACATTATAAATTTGGGAAAAGGTAGTACACATGGACATATCCTAACTAACATATCAGATATTCTCCATGGTGTTTTCAATGGTTACACATGTACATGTAGGAATAATTAAGGCCCTCTCCCAGACAGGCAACTGTCTTCTCCAGCCTTTTTCAGTCTCCAGGGGCACTCAGACCGCCTCCTCTCAGTACGACAGTAGCTAAAATTGATTGACGGAGGCACCCAGCCCAGCTACGGCCGTTGTAAATGTCAAAACACTCTCATAACTGCTGTCTGTCACATCTCTCGCAAACTGACATGTTAAGGAAGTAACACACAAAGCAAAAAAGCAGACAAGGACACAAACTCATGCTCAAAATTCCTTTACTTCGTCCTGCCGAAAATCTTTCACGTTTATTCCTCACGTTGGTAGTACACACGATTGAAAATAGATGGTACCACAAAAATCAACATTATTTCTCCCACAGGACCGTTACGAATGGATGATGGTAAGAAATTCAAAACAAGGCCGGCCTACAAAGTTGGTCAAGGGTACAACATGCTCTTACAGGTACATCCGTCATAAGACGAGAGCAATATGACGGAGGATTGTCGCTTCTTAAGCTCGTACGTTACCACACCCAGAAAAGATCTTAAAGCGTCCAACGAGGTGGGAATTAGGAACTCCTAAAGTTTCGCCGGTTGATGGTGCTTTTATTTTTTTTTCACTAGATGTTTTTTTTGTTGCCTTCTGAATTTTTGGGACTGATGTTTCCCATGAAATGTTAACAGGATTTCACGAGCTACTCCTTGGCAGGTTTGTCCTCGCTGTGGGACTCTGGCTTGGCAGCGTCTCCGTCCTGACCGGACTGTAGAAGATGGAAAAAAAGACAAAAAAAAGTTAAGTGAAAATACAGCAAAACAGCGTCTTCCTTATTTCCCAAGTTTTCCGTCCACTGCAGATACCCCTGGACAGAGTTAAAAACTACAAAAACCAAAGGACACTTTCATGACTGGAAGACGATTGAAACAGTCGAGTGAAAATACAGCAAAATGGCATCTTCCTTATTTCCCAAGCTTTCCCTCCACTGCAGATACCCCTGGACAAAGTTTTTCTTGGATAAACTGATGGAAAATTTTACATCTGTGTCCCAGAACATTCAGAAGGGAGGGAGGAATATTGTGTTTCTGGGTGTTTTTGTGTGAGAAGTCAGTAAAAACCTGCATGTTATAACAGCTTCAGTACAAAACCACAGCTTTGCTGTGAACTAACAACGTATCTTGAACTTCTTGTTTTAATTAATAAGATACAACATGAACTGTATCTTTTGGTTTGTATAATCTTTCTCAAAAACTTTTTTGCAGTACTTCAAAGAGAGATAAGTTGTATGATTGAATTTTATATTCTTAAACACGACCAAGGAAAACAGGACCATCCCTTCCTTCCTTTTCCGAATGACTCTGAAACACAGTATGAAAATATGCATGCACAATGAACTCTTATAACAACATTCCCCACCAGCCACCTTGGAACATACAACAAAAAGCAATGATCTCAAACCCCAGGTAACATTGAAAAAATGAGGAGTTAGCATCCATACACAGGGCTTTTAATACTTTTCCGTTTTCTGCAATAGTCAATTCCAAATAATGAGCCAGTATCTTTTCAGCCTGCTGAATTGCTTGTATTTTTTCTGATAATTGCAGGATTTGTGTGGGTATTTCAAGCTCTGGTATGTCGTATCGTACAGTATCAGGGGCCTCTGCGGGTGAGTCCCCTCCCTCTGCTGTATCCCTCTCCTCATTCGAATCCTGGAAAGAAAGATCCAAAATGAATAGACCAAACTTCAGAAGAGGAAGGGTGCCATTTTAGTAACAATTGAAGCAACATCAAGGAAAAAATGCAATGAAGAAACACCTGGATATCTGGAAGGAAGAAAGAACAAATTAGAGAAACTATTGACTTAAGTAACAAACAAATTCTTGTTTACAATATTCTTTCCCATCTACAGTACCGTTCGCGTTATAGTTAACCGGGTACCCCGTTACTAACGAGTTATTTTTTCGTCAGAAAATGGTTAGAAAATCGTCAGTATTTGGTTAGATTTTCGTCAGAAAATGGTTAGAAAATCGTCAGAAATTATTTCTAACGCGTTACCGTTTGCGTTAATGTGATAGGGTCGGATTTCATGTTTGTTTTGCGCGCCGACAAGACAATAGCAATTTGCCACCTCCTGGGGCGTCCGCTAATGTGTTGCGATGTTGCCGGCCTTGAAAAATAACAGCACCAGAGGCAAGTGGACATGTGATTCGTAAAATAACTTTGTGGTTTATCCATGTGTCGACTGTGTGAAGCGAATTGTGCTATCTTTTAATGCTATTCTATAGTTATTTCTAGCAGAAAATTACGTTGTGTAATACAATGTATGTCAACAAAGTGTAGCAGTGGGCAGACGATGTCTTGTACATTTTGTACCAGCGGCGGCCTACCGCTCTCACAGGACGTCATGGGACGTGACGAAACAAGAAATATCTGCCGTAGAAGAAATATAAATCGGTAACTCACGGCGGTTTTTGACACAAAAGAAAAATTATTATAATTTTTGTAAGGCGCGCGGCTTACTAGTACTAGCGGCTTTAATACTCACGGTAAAATGTACCGTCACTCCCGGCGCAAGGACTCGGTTCGCCAGCTGAGGACTTTCCACAACCATGATGATATCATAGTTAATAAAGGAATATATAATAGATCTATCATGTTGAAATGATAATTGTAATACATGGTTCTATTTAATAGCGGTAGTTTTGTTTCTTATTTTGAGGGGGGAAACTGTCAAAAATCGAGGGAACGCAAACTGAGATCGGCTCACTTCCGGGTGCATAACGCCAAAAATTCTCGACGATTATATAAAAATGACCACTCATTTGCCGCCTACGGTAGCGTGTACATGGTAGTGCGATCATATCGTGCCAAAGTCAGCGTCAAACGTCAGAAAATACCCCGTAAAAATATAGTTGCAAAACACATTTCCCGCGCACTCAGGGCCGGTCGCCCCTGGCCGCTGCCGCCCTGCGTGCAGCATGCTCATTATAATATGCAAGTAGCTACGCTCTGATTGGTTCACCTTAGATGACCTGCGCTGTGATTGGCTAGAACGAAGCCCGTTGCATGCTGGGGCGCCCTTCCCCGCGCGAAATGATCTCGAGAGAGCCACATTTACGCTGGTTTCTACCTTATTTCTACGACTAATTAGCAACATCCTAGTGACGAAATGCGTACTCAAAAGAATTTTCGGGAAAAAAAATATATGTGCATGTGGATTTGTGGTGCCTTTGGCGTAATTTTGTTGGTCACATACAACGTAATGTAACACGGAAGTGCATGGAGTCGGAGTGGCGGCACGGCTTTCCGTCCCACTCTTAAACAAACTCCAAGGACATAACAAAAACTCCCCCAAAAACTGGTCGAATAATTAGCCATAAAAATGTTGGTGGGCACGTGTAAATATGCTGCCTTTTTTCGAGTGTTATAGGAATTTTCCACGATGTTTTTGCACATCCCTAACGTTACCTCACGCCCGCCTCCTATTATGTACGGCGGACCGGGGCATTTATAACTTCAGATCATCTAGGTTTGCTTATTCGGTGGTAAAATAAGTTAACAGAGAAAAACAGCAAAACAAAGTTGACAAACTATAGAAACGCTTGCCTGGGCAACAGTGACAAAAGAAAATGTCTATCTAATTGAATTGCGCCGGTGATCGTAAAACGTTTTAAACGTTACAATATAGTAAAATGCAGGCTAGATCAACGTTCCTTCCGCTGTTCCAGCGGTGTGTATCGGTAATTTCCCGCCCCGCATGAGGTAAATTAGTACTCCTCCCATTATTCTGTGATGTTACCGCGGCCTGCATATGAATGCAGAAGTCTAACGGAAAAGTAACGGAAAAGTAACGGAAAACTTACGCAAAAGTTACGGAAAACTTACGGAAAAGTAACGGAAAAAAAACGCGTTAGTAACGGCCGTTAGGGTAACTATAACGCGAACGGTACTGTATCTTTAGACAAGTTTACAAAGTAAGTCCAGTCACTGTGCAGTTCCTTCTAATGCTGCTTGGTGGTGCTGTGCAGACTAAACTTGAAGCACATGAACCATTTGGTCAACTGCACGCGTACTCTCATCCTTTCAGCATCACGTAACAGTTTGAAGGCTACATTAGAGACAAATACAACTTGACTGCAGTTAAGTTGGACTAAATACCTCCGGGTTTGGATACCTCATCATAACTGTTTATTAGTAGAGTTAACTTACAGAAAAAAGCTAGTCATGAAATTCTTTGACATTGGCAAAATTCTGATACATGTACAACATTTAACAGACATCCAATAGAAACCACGGAAAATCTGGATTTCACGCAGTATATTCTGCCGACAAGCTGACTTATCCAGGGTTTTGATTAGACGTACCTCAGCCTTGCTGCCGGACTGTGGGCGGCGGCGAGGGGGGCCTCTACGACGGCGGGGCGGCTGCCGATCTTCTGCCGCGTTCTCCTTGTTCTCGTCAGGGCCAGAGCCTTCATTTGAGCGAGGCCTGAGGAGGAAAATATCATTTGTCAAAAGGTTGACGACAGCTCTATGCTAGAAACATGACTATTAGCAGCCCCTCCCAGCTCCTAGAAGCTTGCTGACCAACACCCCTAAGTCAGGAGAATTGAAGACAGGAAAAAAGTTTTTTTGTTTTCTATCGTAGACTGGTTCTAGCTATTTTATGCCAGTTTCCAAACTGGCTACCATGCTTACAGTTATGTCACTGGCAGCATTTAATTGAATTAACTTTACAGAAATTAAGAACTGGGAGGATGATTTTCAAGATTCGATGTTTCCTCAGATAAGAATAATGTATTTTCCGTACAAATCTTTGTGCAAATGTCTTTGTGCATTCAATAATATTACACTGTTCTACATGTATTTCATTGTCATTGGTATCATGCTGTCTGTAAGGGTAGTAAGTAAGTACAGATGCTGCTGCCCACCTGCGACGGTAACGGCGGTAAGGTGGAGGTCCTCCACGTCTGCCACGGCGCCCGGGTGTGCCGCGACGCTCATCGCCCCCCTCACGGTCATCCTTGTTGTCATCTCCGTCCTGAGATGGAAAAAAACGAACACTATTAGGCATTGCACAAGGTATTCAAGATGCTATCTACATCAGAACATTGCAACTGCAACCATCCCTCAACAAAGACTTTCTGCAACCTGTAACCCACTGCTCACTGACTTATGTGTGTCATCTGCCTAACGTAACATCACAGAAGCAGTGGATTGCTCAGTCTTTGACAAAGACTGGAGTTGTACAGTCAACAATTTGGTTAAGTGCAATTTCTTGGAAACAACAGTTTGCTTCATATTGACTTTTACCAACACAAGATGAACTTTGAACATCTTATATGCAAGTATGCACTGAAAAGGTACAAGAGAGCACTTTTATAAACATTTAGCCTCTGTACACTTTTGAAAACCAACAGGAACTTTGCGGCTCCAGATGTCTTACAGGATGAGAACTACAGTGTACTAAATATCGGTTAGCTTGAGGAATGAATCCACTTTACTATACACTAACATCTTTTCTATGTTTCGTGTGGATGTCAATCAAACTCAGACACTTACATCAACGTCACGGTTGTCGTCATCGCGCGGGGGTCCACGGTAGCGGCGGCGGTAGGAGTACGGCCTGCCACCCCTTCCTCGCCCCCCACGGTACCCGCCTCGGCCCCGGCGGGGAGGGCCCTCGTCTCGCTGCTCACCCTCGGAGTTTGTGCCGCCCTCGCCACTGTGCTCTCCGCCATCTTTGTCTGGAGGAAGGACAGACAAGGTCATAGGAATGAAATTCAATTTATTCATTCTACATTTGACAGGAGTCAAAATACTTTCTTCATTGACATTGAAAATTACCTGCACCAGACAAATTTTACCTGCACCATTCAGAATTTAGGAAGTATGGATCAGACTGAAAACTGTTCTGAAGCCATCTTCCTAGGACGGACAAGGTCATAGAAATGACATGCTTCATTTTATTCATTCTACTAAAACCAGGACTAGCTGATTTTCAGTAGGTCCTTCAACATAACAGGAAGGATATCCGGCTGTAACAGTGTAAAAACTTGAATCCAGTATTCTGAAATGGCTATGCACATAGATAATTGCGATGACAAAAAAAAAGCACATAAAATAAACTTAGTCACAAAAAATGATATTTGCCTGATTACAGACACAACATCGAATTTCTAGGTAAATATTTGTGTTGTAAATCAGTTACTCAGTATAACAAAAATAAGGTTTCCTTGTCATGCTGCTCAACAGATATAGGGAAGAAATGCAGGGAAGACAACACCACCACCTACCATCCTGGCGGTTGCTTCGGTAGCGGCGGCGTCCGCCTCTGCCACCGCCGTCCCCGCTGTAGTACCGGGGGCGGTAACGGCGGCGCTCGGCGGCGTACTTACTCCCCTCCACGGGAGCACCCTCAGGGCCGGTCACGTTGGCCGCTTCGTTGCCCTGCACAACACAAACGCTCAAATTAAAACAGCGAAAATCTTGAGGATCCAAAATACTGTCAAACCTGTCTTAAGTGGTCTCTAGGGACTGAGTAAATTTGACCACAAGGGACAGGTGACCACCATAGAGACTATTAGAGAGCGATAAGGTTCATATCATATCTAATCATGAGCATAAATGCTTTCAGTCCCCATGAGATACCTTTTTTCAATGACGTCTGTCACATTTTTTAATAATTGGCATTTACAGCTCAATGATTGTTCTCTAAACTGTTAAATTGTACATAAAAAAGTGTTCAACTTTAGTAGCTTGCAGTTCCCAATAAAATAGAAAGTGTAGCTTCATAACTTGTTCTGCACAATTACTGGCATAGCTCTTTTCAACCAGCACTATGCACAGTGGATCACAGCTTAACCTATCCTTTAAGGACTGTGAGCCATAACATATTATAGCGTGCATTTTGGGTGAGAAACAACAGCCGGGATTTGAACTCCCAACCTCTTGGTACAAAGGCTGGGTTGCTACCCACTGACTAATCCACTCACCTTCTCGCCTTCTACGACATCAAACTCCACGACCTCCCCGTCACCTACGCTGCGCAGGTACTTCCTTGGGTTGTTCTTCTTGATGGCCGTCTGGAGAAAAACAGGAAGGAGCACTTTTAGAAATTACAACTCATTTAAATCATATCATGACTAAAAAAAAAAAACTAGCCTCTACCAGGCCTCAGAAGCAGCTGGCCATTATGTCTTGAAATTCTCTCTCACAAGAGGCAAGAAAAAGTAGAACTTTGCCAAATAGACAGATAACATGCCTGGTAGAGGCTACTCAAAAACACCTGACTTAGAACAAATACTTAATGCTAAGAGACAATTGTTTTAAATCTTGTGTGTGCAATGTGTGCATGGTGACATGTACATGTGGATGTGTATATAATGTATGTGTATGACCATGCATTTGTGTATGCAGCTGTTTTTGCTAAGACATACACTGCAAATATGCAGCAGGGTAACAACAGAGGGGGATTTTTGAGCATTCCAAAATCCTACATGTTTATATATTTATCTTCAATTGTAAAATGGGACATTTAAGTGTTCTGTTAGCACACTTTTTGAGCTGAAAACTGTCTAGATATCAGGTATATAAGCTCTCTAATTATATTATTCATAACAGCCTCGTGGGAATGCTTCCTGTTACTTCTTAATCATACATTTTGTGACAGTGTCACCTTGTGAAAAGATAAAACTGAGATGGCTGTTGCTTATTTAAAAAAGACATCTCAAATATTACTACTCAACTATATGGAAGCTGTAGACTAATGCAGACTTTCATAGACTGATGAAACAAGCTCAGCAGGTCTCAATTCCTTATAATATGATATACTCCCATCCACATCTGAACAAGATCCAAAGAGAATGATATTGGACGGACTACAAGGCTTGGAATACTTTTTTCTACATACACTTGCAAGTTACATGTAGATGTAGGTAGACATCAGAAATACCTGCACAGCCCCAATTTTACCAGCACTAACGTGGATAATGCACCCAGTATTCGAGGCCCAGACTAGCTGGTTAGAATTGCTTGTCTGTTAAGAGCTAGCCTAGTTCACCCACATCCTTCTTAGCTGATTCATGTCTGCGAGAATTAGAGCCGACGCTGACACAAATCGGTGCAGATTTACAAATTACCTCGGTAAGTCCTGCGTTCATCTAGGAAAACTGGCAGGCCCTCAAATTGCCAATTACCTCCGGAGTGACAGAAACCAGAGAAGATGCAAAACGGGTGTCCACCGACGCCTCAAGGCTGGTATCAACTTACGACTTCGACACAGATATCCTGTTACAACGTCAACCACAAGTTTCGAGTTCCAACATTAGCTAAAACAACCGAGTGTTGGGTTACAGCCGTACATTTGGCTGTAGCATCAGTTTGTCTATCTCTTGACAAATGGCTGGATTAATGTGGACAGTTGGGTGAATTTTGCACCTGATTTAGTCCAGCTGCAACATTTCCTCTCCCCATATATTGTGCGCCTGCATCGAAGATATACAGCATCTGCATACTCACACAGGGATTAAATACTTTATTGCTGATGTCCTCTTTATTCAGCTTCAGCCAAGCGATAACCAGGAGAAGTATATCATCAGCGAATAAAAGTCTCTAGTTATTCCAAGAAAACTTCTCGCTGATTTATTTAACGCCGTCGCTCGTTACTTTCGTCGTAGAACGATATCCGTATGCCGGACTGACCGAGAACGATGTCCCCCGGCTCTGGCGGTGACATTTCGGTTTTACGGTGAGATGGTAAGTGGCACCTCCATGGGAAAGATGAGACAGGAGCTCGCGCCTATTACTTTATGACTGGAACTGAGCCGGGCCATTTTTCACCGGTGACATTGCATTCTCCTAGTGCAAGTCGTTAGACTAAGTCCCCAAATGGTCCTGCAGCCACTTTAAATATTCACTGCATGGGTGGAGCAAGTTTCCAGGCTGTTGTCTATTTCGAATCTTGTAGAATTTTTAACCCAACACCAAAAGTGCAGGGACTCCGCCGCCTTGTTTGAAGCCACGCCGTCCGCTTTCCTCATCACAAACTAGCGCTCAACGTCCAAAACAAATACACGTGTAGAGCCCTGGTCATGTGACTTACGCAACGCCATCGACGGCCGGCACCACGTGTTGCCATCCGATCTCGAACGCAATGTAGCGAAATGCGAAATCGCCGCAGCGTTCCCAATACCATTACTCGCAGTGGGGTGGGGTTACGGGGTCGCCCCTGTATTTATTAACCCCGGTTTTATAACCCCACGACGCCGGCAATCTAATATTCATCCGGGGTCAACACCAATTCACCCTGACAAAAATCCGCACCCAAAACCACCACCGAAAAACCATGACAAAACCCAGTGCTTCTGACATTACCACACAAATTTCCTTGTCCACTTGAATATAACACCTGCACATTTGCAGTGACGTGAACAAATGCTGCACCTATTAGCTAAGATACCGTGCCGGTTTCATCTTTCCCCTCCACCCACCTATTTTCCCGCTCACCAAATATTCCGCCAGCACTTGGCATTTTTCCACCACACTAATCAGTAGTCCATGGACCCTTCCATATGGAATTGGGTCCCCTAAATGTCACGGAATGGCAGGTGATTCAAGGTGATTTGTGGACGGGGCAAACTTACCCCTTGCCTAATGCGGCAGCAATACAAATGATGGGGCCTAACTGTTCCCAGAGCCTGCCGAAATGTCACTGCAAAATTACAACAGCCCATGAAAAGAAGTGTTGTTTCCTCTCTATAGGTGGACCCGACATGTTGAACCATTCTTCACACGGGTGAATTTAAGCTCATCAAAGATGTATTTTCTAGCCCGAGGCTTTGCTACTCGACAGCACTACATCATGCCCCGCATTATTCGGGTGCGTCATCAATTACCAGTGTAAATGTCAAGACCAAAATGTAAAACGGTCACTCAAAAACACGCCCATTTCCGCACAAATATTTCCAAAAACTTGAACAGCCCTTTTATGCTGCCTGGTATGAATAGGCTGCTCGGGAGGCCTGACGCTGAATCTGAGTTTATCCTCTCAACACATAAAGGAAATGAAGTATGATGTGGAGGGGGCAGTAAAACGCACCAGTATGCGTGAAGGTGAGATTAAAGTTTCTGCAGAGATCTTCAGGAGGACCCTATTTGTCGCACGCTCCCAACGACTCTTGTCTGTAGGCAGTTTCTCCCGGTCTCAAGGCTGTCCCGTTAATAACCTGTCAGTTCCTGACAACATCACAATTTCTTACAGTTATTCTCCACACACAGAGGAGGGAGGACAGGGGGATTCCTCTTCTGTGGACAACTTTCTGCTTTTCAGAGACCCAAACGCACAAAAAAAGCATGCTGCTAGGAGAAGAAGCAGAGATTTCTGAGAACGGAGCATGAAGGGAAGTTGTTGCAGCACGTGCTGGGGTGGTGGGAAGCGACGCGCGTCATGTGACAGCGCGTTCCACGTGTGCTTGTGTTTTGGGCCGAGAGGCTGCATTAGACGCTAACAAGATTACTGCGAAATGTGGGGCAATTTTGAGCCGCCCTGACACAAATGCGGCGCCAGGGTCAAACCGAACTGACATCGGTAATTATTAATGAGGAATAAAACCATCTCTTTAACATGTACATCGTACGCCTTCAAAACAGCGGCGAAACGCTGGGAAAGCATGGATCGTAAGCAGTGTTCTAACCAGTGTCGGTCTTTCCATCATTTGACCGAATTTTGCCGGTCATGACAGCAAAAAATTTTGACCAATCTGTCATCTTTGACAGACAAAAATTGTTGCATAAGGAAATGGAAGGATACGTCATTAAACTAGGCTTAGTCTACCAGTAAAAGTTTCCCCCTCGATATTCACAATACCCCGGTAAGCAGAAAATAGCATTTCTGATGGTCAAGATTTAAAAATTTACCCAGAGGACCCCCTGGTATTGCTGCACTTCAGTGCTTGACATGATATTACGTCAAACATTATTAACTGTTCCATTAAAATAAAACAGGACCAAATTAAAACGAAAGACATTTCCTTTCTGTTATGGAGTGTACTGATATCTCTTCAGCTGAGTAAAAATCAACTGCCCTCCTTCCATGACAATGCCCTGTATCCACGCAAATTTGATGCCAAAGGCTACCTCGGTAGCTCATAGATTAAAGCCCTGCCACGTTAATATCAAGAGTTCACAAAATCTGCCCATCTTCCCATCAGCAGTGCTTCTATCCCTTTCCGCATACACAAAAAATTACTACTCCCCCGACAACAGGAGTCCCTTTCAGATACACCCCTGGTCAGGATGGGCCCACAATCTCTCCACTTCAGGGAGACAAGTCTCCTCTTCGATAGATAACCTCTCGCCCCACTACCTCAGCACACTGCCTGATGGCCCGGCAAGTGGAATAAAACCCGGCGTGCGTGCTACACGGCTATCATCTGCCCGCACTCATCTGACCCCTTCTAAGTTGGATTTTCTCCCGCTTCCGCAAATCCCTACCCCGGACACGTAACGCCATCAAATGGCGAGTTTGGGGGATGGGAGCCGAGATTCAGGGCGACAACCGCGCAGTTGGAAAGGGCACTGGAGGCACGGATTGTAAAAAAGTTTCCAGTCGGCCGCCCCATTATCAGACGGCACGGGGCTTTGAAGCACTCGAGTCTCTGAGACGTCTGCTGGAGTGAGATATCACACTCTCTCAGATCCCTGTCAGAAGAATGGTGCAAAAAAAATGAAGGAATATCAAGGAGCACCTGAAGCTGAACCACACAACCATTCTCACATATGCGTACTGAGCACTAAATAGTTCATAAAGGAAATTACACTGACAAAGGTTAACCAAAAAATTCTATTAATAATAGTCTTGAATTCCCGTTCAAAATGATCTACATGTACTAGTAGTACTAGTACATGAAACAAGTTAGCAAAACTTAGCATGAAACAGTTGGCAAATGGTTAATGTTGGCATTTGTATCAGTTTGCAAATTTTCAAACTACAAATAGACTTCTGATTCAGAATCCATAAAAAAACACTTGGCACACACGCTCTCTACCATTTGAGCACAGTTTGGAACGAGAATGTACGAAACGA